TCTCCCTTCCTCTCTATGAAAAAAATCAATAAAATATGTATTTTTTAAATATTAGGAGGCTTTTGAAAATTATATAATGTAGTCTTGATAGCTTTTAAATTTTAATTTTTTGCACTATAATGTGACCGCTGTAGGTTCATTACATGTTATGCAATTTTATCATGAGATGAACTACCAATAAAAATGTTAGTTAACACTTTAGGAACAGCTTTTTGTCCAGTACAATTAATTTTTCTAGGATATTCGCTTATTTCAATTAGCCAATTTAAATTAGCCTGAAAACTTGTCTACTATTTTACTGTCAAATTTATTACACTAACAACAATCTTATTTTACCCTATTTTCATGTGTGTTCATAGTTGCTTGCTGAATGTTTTTATGATGGGCATTTTAAACTCCTTATCAGATCATTTCGACATTTGCATCATCGCTGTGTTGGTATCTGTTGATGGCTTTTCTCCTTCAAGTTGAGATTTTCTTGGTTCTTGGTCTGACATGTGATTTTTTATTATATTCTGGACATTTTGGGTATTAAGATATGACTCTGAATCTCTTTTTAAAAATATTTTTTTATTGATTTTTAGAGACAAAGGAGGAGGGAGAGAGAGAAACATCAATGGTAAGAGAGAATAATTGGTTAGCTGCCTCCTGCATACTCCACTCTGGATATCGAGCCCACAACTTGGGCATGTGCCCTAGGAATCGAACTTTGACCTCCTGATTCATAGGTCGACCCTGAACCCCTGAGCCACGCTGGCTGGGCAAAATGTGTGCTGATGATGGATCTTTTAAAAATATTTTTAAAGAGGCCTCCTCTGATACCATGTCAACTGGGAAAAGGGAGTACTTTGTTATTCGGAAGTTGCAGTGGGAGTCCAGTCCCTCATTCCCCCTTTATTTACAATCAGGAGTAAGAGGGGTGTTTTTTTATTGCTGGATAGCATTGAAGTTCATGCTCCCTTTAAGCTTCTGAGGACACCTGCTGGTTTGGGAGTGGGTGAGACACTATTATTTCCATGTGACCTCCAGTTATGGAGAAGTGAGGAAGCTCTCCTTACCACTGGGCTGTAATGAAAGTCCTTGCTGCCCACTAGGTCTTTTTTGACACCACCTTGGTCAGGGAAAAGGTAGTGCCTTCTTACAACCAGCTGATGTTGGAAATCTAAGACTTCTCTCTCAGACTTTGATGATGAGAGTGTTGGCAAGGCAACAGAAGGCAACAGTTTTTGTTTTGTTTTATTTTGTTTTTTCCTGTGATGTTTGGCTGTAGTATATAGTGGTTACTGTCTAAAAGTCATCTGTTCTATAAGGCTGCTCTTTCCTTAGTTAGGGAAGCATACTCTCTTCTTGGGGCTTTTTTAGTGTTTGCCCTCTCAGATCAGAATGTGTTAGGCAAAAAATAAATACAGGAAATTAACCACCATGTCCTTCATCCCTTGGGCCTTTAGCCAGTCTGCTTTCCCTTCACATTTCAATGTCTTCTTATCTTTGCCTTGTACAAAACATTTTTAGTTTATTAGGAGGAATAGAAGTGCATCTACCCTCTCTTCCAGAAAATGAAATATTAGATATTTAAAGAGTATAATATTGTGTGTGGCTCCCAGCCTATAAGTGACAGTAATTCTTTTTTAACCACTATTTAAATTAATGCTATTTTCTTTTTAATTTTCTTTTAAGAGGCTTTCACCCTTCCTTGTTCCATGTATTTTTCCAAGTACATTTTACTTGAAGCAAAGGAATCCTAGAAGTGGAAGTTTATTGCCTTCCCTATTTTAGGTATCCTTAGTTTCTTTAATTATATTTTTATGTAATAACCTCAAATTGCCTAAACTTTATATATCTGCTAATGTTACCTGATCTTGATTATACTAGTTTCTATTGTTTTCTGAAGACACATCATTCTGGGTGCCGTACACACTAAGAGTGTATTAATAGTTCTTGAACTCTCCCCAGATCTTTTTCATGTGTATTGCTGTCCAGGCAAATGACTTTCATTTTCTTATTGTGCACTTAGTTGTTTTGTCTCTCTTGATAGGGTAAGAGTGGACTAACACATTTTTTACTTTATATATGTTAACTAAATTTACAGGTTTCTTTTTTGTGATTTACATTTAAATTGTAAAAACAAATTCATATGCAGTGCCAAACATTTGGAAGTCCCAGAAAAACATAAAGAGGAAAAAAGTTCTAATTCTATTTTTGAAATACAATACTGTAAACATTCCAATGCAATTCTTTTATTTTGTACATGTGTCCTCTTTCCCAATAGACTTTTTCCTCCCTCATCTGAGGATATTTTTTTTCCATTGATTTTTTTTTTTTTTTTTTAAGAGAGAAAATGGAAGGGAGGGGTTGGGGGAGAGAGAAAGAGAAAAGCATCAATTGGTTGCCTCCTCCAAGGCCACACAAGTGCTCTGACTGGAGCCAAATCAACAACCCAGATACCTACCCTTGACCATGCACTTGATAAAACCCATTACCCTTCAGTGCTTGGGCCAATGCTTTACCATTGAGCCACATCAGTCAGGGCCCAATGCAGACTTTTTAAAAGGCTATTAATTTTGTGTTATAAGGTTATATGATGTGTATTAATGAGATTCTTTGCCCCTTCCAAACCTCCCCACTCTGGCTGGTGGAAACTAAAGTGAACTCCAGGGATTCTTTCCTGTGGTTCTTTCCTCCAACACATGTAGTTTCTTTACATAGATATGCTGTTGAGCACTCAGCTGAGTACTCAAAAAAGACCTCTGGAGCTTGCTGTTTGTGCAGCTTTCTTCTCCCTAGTATTTTGCCCTATAAATTCTAGCTGAATTAGTCTCTTTCAACTCCCCCACCTCATCTCTTGAACTCAGGGAGTTTGCTGGATTGGATTCTACCTGGCTTCTCCCTCCCAAGCACTGTAGCCTGAAAGGTGCTTTTCACAGGGATCACTGTTTTGTGTTGGCTGTTGTTCAATATTTGAAAATGATTTCTTTATATATTTTATCTAGATTTTTAGTTTAAGGTGAGGAGGGTAAGTCTAATCTGCTATTTCATCTTGGTTCATGATGGAAGTTTTTTTGGAGACAGACAATAAATATGTAAAATGCAAACAAATATTTCAGGTCATTATAAGTACTATGTAGAAACTGGAAGCAAGGGAGGGAAATGAAGATTACCAAGAGGATTGTTTTATTAATTTTAAACAATTATTAGGATGTTTATTAATTTTAGAGAGAGAGAGAAAGGGTTGGGGAAAAAGAGAAAGAGAAACATTGATGTGAGAGAGAAACATTGATCAGTTGAGCCCTCTACATGCCCCTAATGGGGATTGAACTCTCAATCTAAGTTTGTGCCCTGATCAGGAATCCAACCTGCAATCTTTTTTGTGTTGGGGAAGACTCTCCAACTGAGCCACCTAACCAGCACATCAAGAGGATTGTACTTTTATATAGGAAGGTGAGAAGACTAGAGTGAGAAATTGACTATTATTCTGATTATCTTGTGTTATATATCAATTTGCCCCCAACTTAGTGAATTTTGCTGACAGATGTTAATTTAAGCAAAATGGGACTAGGGCAGCTTGTTTTTGCTTTGCTAGGTGTCAGCTGGGGCAGCTGAAAAGCTGGGGCTGGAATCATCTAAATCAAGCATGTCAATTTACGGCCCGTGGTCCGCATTGGCCAACAACGAATATTGTTACGGCCCAGCCAAAATAACAGTATGTAAGAAATGTTTTAATAAAAATTTGTAACTTAATTTTTATAATATTCTTTGTACATAATTATTAATAATAAACAAACTACAATGTTCGCTAATGACTGATTACTATAATCATGTTGCATTCATCTCCCTTACGTGCCTTCTATGCAGGCACAACATTTCTTTCCACTAACACTAGCACCAAATATTTTAGCAGCCGATTGCCACATCATTAGTCGTGTACTGACTTGTTTGGTGTGTGCAACAGGAAATATTTCACTTTTGGAGAACAAGAAAAATAGATTTATTTACATTACACTTATTTGTACAGTTGTTCAGTGTCTGGTAAGTTAATGTTCAAGAAAAAATTTTTATTAAAATGTTCTATTCTTTTATGTTAACAGTTACTCATTTATTTCAACCCTTTGTATTTAGCATGTCTCTATCGAAATAAACCTATGTTTCTATGAAAATAGAAGCTTTTGTTTTTTTTTGCAGCCCACATAAACTTAAACCTTGTTTATTTGGCCTGTGTTAGCCTTTTCAATTTGACGTGCTTGATCTAAATGCTTTTTCACGCACATGTATGGTGGCAGATGATGTTTGCCAGCTGTGATCTCATTTGGGCTGTGGCTGGAACTTCTACACATGACCTTTCCATGTGGCTACCTGGCTCCCACATAGTATAGTGGCCAGGTTTTCATCACTATGTGAGATGAGATGATGGATATTAACTAAACTTATTGTGGTAATAGTAATACAATGTTATATGTCAATTATATCTCAGTAAAATTGGGAAAATATTATGTGACTTAGAACATTTTATTTATTCACAATTCTTAAGCTACCACTCTGTTGAAATGTGGTTGTTTTCCATGTTATCCTTTACAGTAAAAGCATAGATTTTCAGTAACCTTATAAACGTAATTGAGCCCTGGCTGATTTGGCTCAGTGGGTAGTGTCGGCCTGTGGACTGAAGGGTCTTGGGTTCGATTCTAGTCCAAGGTCCTGGATTCTGGGTTCTGGGTTTGATCCCCAGCAGGGGGCGTGCAGGAGGCAGCTGATCAATAATTCTCTCATCATTGATATTTCTCTCTCTCCCTTCTCTATTCCTCTATGAAACCAATAAAAAATATTTTTAAAAAGGAGTAATTGAGGCCTAAAATACAAATTATAAATATAATTTCTGGATGTGATACTTTTAATATGTATTTTGTTTGCAAAAAAAATGTCTTTAGGTTAATTGTTCTCATTTCACTGTCTTACCTCTGTATTTTAAATAAATAATTTGTGATTCATTTGTTCTCTGTATGTCATAGGATGTGTTTTGGAGATGCAGACAAAATATCTTTGATGAAATGAAGAAGAAATTTTTACAGGTAGACTGCTGATGTAATTGCTTTAGTGTGATAATCAGCAGAGCATGTAACAGCATGTTACTATTTTTAATAACAAGGCATGTGTTGAGTTTTATGCTTGTTTTAACTATTTTACTTCTACCCAGTTTTAATAAGAAGAAAGTCACCTTAAATGAATGTGTGTCTGATTGGGTCTGCTTTTCTAACAAGTGAATGAAGGGGGAAATTGATATAAAAACCACAAGATCTCTTTGTTTTGACTTGTGGTTATATTGTCTCTTTTATGTACAGGCATATTTATTTTTTGAAATAGTAATGCTTCTGGGATTAAATTACCTTATAATTTACTGAGTCAAAACCCAGAAATCTTATTTGAAGAATTATATAATATGTTAACTTTCTGGCAGCCCATTATACACTTCAAACCTAAATTTTCCTGTGCTGTAGCATCCCATTTTAACCTTTTCTTAATACGTCATTTTTCTCAGGTCTCTAGCTCTTAGTCTTTCCCCCCTCCGCCAAGTGTTTTTCCTCTGTTCTCTCCAAGTAACCTATGGCTAGAGACCACTTAGCAATATGACCACTGATCATATTACATCAGAGTTTGCTGAGATGGTTGGAGTGAAGTGGAGTGGAGGGAGGAACTTAAAATAATCTTGTTTTGTGGTTTATTTTGTCATATAAGTTAGGATCCCCATTACTACCCCAAGAATTGTCACTTGTTAAAATAAAAATGCACCGTCTGAATGAGCCCACTGAATTTAATAAATTTCAATCAGCAGATGTATTCACACCATCAGTTCTCTTTTTAAATATATTATAATGTATTAAACATGATCTGTGAATATATAGAAGGGTATTGTGTTAAGGCCTAATTTCTTAGCTCATGGCATCTCCTTTGTCAAGAAGTAGATAAAATCAAGTTATGAGTATATGTGTATTTTTTTTGTTTGCAACAATAATGCTATATTATTTGTAATAACATGAAAAGGAAGAAAAGTTTTGAGAGAAAAGAGACTATTAAATTTGTAAGTAAAGAGGTCCCTTCTTAATATTTAAAAATTTTTAAAATATATATTTTATTGATTTTTTACAGAGAGGAAGAGAGAGGGATAGAGAGTCAGAAACATCGATGAGAGAGAAACATCCATCAGCTGCCTCTTGCACACTTCCTATTGGGGATGTGCCTGCAACCAAGGTACATGCCCTTGACTGGAATCGAACCTGGGAACTTTCAGTCCACAGGTCGACGTTCTATCCACTGAGACAAACTGGCTTTGGCTTAATATTTTAAATTTTATCTTAATTTTTTGTTATAAAAATCTGAATCTTGATAATTTTGAATTTTATTTGATATTAAGTTATGCTGTTTATTCTTTAATGTATGTATACATTTATTTTAATTTTTTTATCACTATTTATTATCCCTATATCCTCCTCCACCTTTACCCATCCATCCCCTCCCAATCACCACACTGTTGTTCATGTACATGAGTTCTTTCTCTCTCTCCCCCTCCCCCTATCCCTTCATCTCTTAAGTGTTTCTACATGCTAATGCCATTCTGAATATATACCATGAATTATAGACCTTGTTTTGTGTTTTTCAAAATAAACACCTAGGAAGTATTTTTTGTGAAACAAAAATTTTGATGTTAACAAGAGAAAACTCAGATTTGAAATTAAAACTGTTAAGAATGCCAAGAAAAGGAGCCTAAATGACTGAAGACACAAACAAGCATGCCTTCAGCAGTCTGAGATTTTTTAGAACTACCTGTGTCAAACACTTGTAAATGTTCCTAGCAGTAAGCCTATCTTTGGAAGACAAATGCATTTTCAATGAAAAATTAGGAAATCTGGCTTTTTTTCTGCAATGAACATAGACAGAACACTCTCTTAGTGTTAATATAACTGCTGTTATGTTTTATCTCTCTCTTTTTTTTTGTATTGGCTAGATTTTCTGTGTAGAAAACTTTGTGCCCCTCAAAAGCTCACCTAAATATAATTCTAGTGCATGAAATTCATGCATGGTGTGTGTGTGTGTGTGTGTGTGTGTGTGTGTGTCCCTCAACCCAGCCTGCACCCTCTCCAATCTGGGACCTCTCAAGGGATGGGCATTCGGACATTCCTTTCACAATCCAGGACTGCTGGCTCCAAACTGCTTGCCTGCTTGCCTGCCTGATTTACCCCTAACTGCCTTCCCCTGCAGGCCTGGTTCTCCCCCCCCACCCCCCCCACCAACTGCTCTCCCCTTCAGGCCCTGTCATCCCCAACTTCCCTTTTCTGCTGGCCTGGTCACCCCTAACTGCCCTCCCTTGCAGGCCTGGTCCTTCCCAACTGCCCTCTCCTGCTGCCATCTTGTGTCCACATGGGGGCAACCATCTTGTGTTGGAGTGATGGTCAATTTGCATATTACTCTTTTATTAGATAGGATAGAGGCCTTGTGCATGGGTTGGGGCCGGCTAGTTTGCCCTGAAAGAAGTCCTGGATTAGGATGGGGGCTCCCTTGGATTGGGGGATGGCCTGGGCAAGGGGCCTGTGGTGGTTTGCAGGCTGGTCACGCCCCCTGGCGACCTGAGCGGAGGCCAAGGCAGGCCAGGGTATGTAGAAAGCTTGGCTTTCTCCATCACTGGGGGAAACTCAAGCCTCCTGCTCTCTCCGTGGTGGCAGTCATCTTGGTTGGGTTATTTTATATATTCGCTCCTGATTGGCTGGTGGGCATGGCTTGTGAGTGTAGCAGAGTGATGGTTAATTTGCATATTACTCTTTTATTAGATTGGATATTTTCTTTAATGGAGCATTCTTTAGACTTTTGTAAAACTTGACACTTATTTTTATCTTGTCTCTTTCCTCTTACTCATCCTAGAACTCCTTTAACTCAAAAATTGTGCTCCCTTCCATAAATTATGTTCTGTCTTCAGATATCTTATTTTATTTTTTTATTTTATATTTTATTGATTTTTTACAGGGAGGAAGAGAGAGGGACAGAGAGTTAGAAACATCAATGAGAGAGAATCATGGATCAGCTGCCTCTTACACACCCCCTACTGGAGATGTGCCTGCAACCAAGGTACATGCCCTTGACCGGAATCGAACCTGGGACCTTTCATTCCGCAGGCTGATGCTCTATACTGAGCCAAACCGGTTTCAGCTCAGATATCTTACTTTAATATTGGCTTTAGTGCTTAAATGGCTACCCTCCTCCTTAACTCCCTTAACAATATCATCACTACCATTCTTCCCAACTAGAGCTTGGCTATGCTTAAATGTGTGTGTGTGTGTGTGTGTGTGTGTGTGTGTGTGTGTGTGTGTGTGTGATCTACTGCTATGGAATGGCTTACCCCAAAATTTAGTGCTTGAAACAACTAATATATTTGCTCACAATGAGATTGGTTTTGGGCAAAGGCTCAGCTGGTCAGTTATTTTGCTTCACATGTATCATCTGAGATCATTACTTGGCTCCATTTGGCTGGTGGCTGGCTTTGGATGGAATATATTATACAAGAAGGCTTTTTGCACATATCAAACACCTCCGTGCTTCACTAAGTGGCCACTTTATGTGTCGATTCTTAGGGCTTCCTCACTGCATGGTGGTTCCAGGCTAACTGGATTTCTTTTGTGGTGACTGGTTTAGAAGAGGAAATGTTCCAAGAAGTTCACAAACAGAAGCTGTTGCTTTCTTTAGGTCCCGCACATTATTACTTCTGTCACATTTTGTTGGTTCTAACTGGTCACAAGGCCAGCTCATATGCATGGGAAGAGGGGGGGAAAAAAAAAAAGGAAAAAGAATGGCAAAGAGTTTTTAGCTATCTTTTTAATTAACAACAAGATGGCACTGCTTCTCCCCCCCCCCCCCCCCCCGCATAAATAGGATCAATCAAGGTTAGAACTCCAAAGAAATTAAAAAAAGAAAGCTACTTTATTTTTCTAATTCTAAAAAATGCCATTTTAAATTTAAATGTTTTTGAAATTGGCATGTATAATATAATATTACAGAGTTGTTGTTTAAAAGCTATTATAGTCCTAGCCATTTTGGCTCAGCAGATAGAGTGTCGGCTTGTGGGCTGAAAGCTCCCAGGTTTGATCCCAGTCAAGGGCACATGCCTTGGTTGTGGGCTCGATCCCCAGTAGCAGGTGTGCAGGAGGCACCCAATCAGTGATTCTCATCATTGATGTTTCTGTCTCTCTATCCTTCTCCTTTCCTCCCTCAAATCAATAAAAATATATTTAGAAAATAAAAATAAAAGCTATTATAAAGTTATTGGTATACCTTATTGATGGTATTCTATAATTGAAAAAAATTTTTGTCAGTTACCAAATTGGGAGGTGGGGATGGGGAAGTGTGATTAGTGTTGGCAATATCCGTGTTTCCCCGAAAATAAGACATCCTCTGAAAATAAGACCTAGTGCATGGAAAAATAAGACATCCACTGAAAATAAGATCTAGCGCATCTTTGGGAGCAGAAATTAATATAAGACACTGTCTTATTTTCGGGGAAACAGGGTAGTAATATAAAAAATTTAGATTCAGTTCATGGATGTTAACCACATACTAAATTAGTAATAAACAATGGGCCAGAAGGTTGGGAATAAAATCATATAAGTGACTATCTTAGAGCTTTAAAGAAAAGCAGAGAGTTTTGTGTGAAGAGCAGAGAGTTTTGTTTAAATTATCCTAGAATTGAGTAAATAGAGTAAAATGTGATTGACTGAAAAATTCTGTAGGAATTTTAAGGAAACAAAAGTACACAAAGTGTTATATAGACATTCATCACAAAATTATCTCTAAAAGTGTAATAAAGTCCAGCCTAAGAGTCAATAAAATGGAATTGATGTAACAAATTATTATTAATTCATGTAACAAAATACTATTCAACTATTTAATGATGAGTTTAAAATTTTTGATAGGGAAAGATTACATGATATGTTTATAAATAAAGAAAGAAATTACAAAGTAGCATTTATATTCTAACCAGTGTTTGTATTTATAAAGCATAGGAATGTGTGAGTGTGTGTGTAAGAATACTATTTCTAGGATATACACCAAAATGTTAATAGTTATCTCTTTTATTGTGGGATTAACAGATGATTTTCACTTTTTCCTTTAAACTCTTCCTATTTTTTAAAAAGGGGAGCAAAATTACTTATATGCAATGAACAAAAAGGAACTTTTGTCATTAAAAAGAAAAAAAGGCATTACATGGGATTAAATTTTATTTATTATTGTACATTTATGTCTTCAGATAAGATTCATTTGGGGATAATTTCCCCATATTTTGGGGGTGAAAGATGAAGAGGCTGGAGTGCCTGTACCTTGTACTCATGTATTTAGGGGACAAATTAGGAACTATTAATGTCTGGCCATTTGATGTCGCCACATCACCAATCTTAAGGCTGCGTCAGCACTTCTGATTTCTGAATTCTTAGTCATCTTCCTTGGATGATCAACTCCATTTTATCTGAAACTATGAAAATCTGGCCACCATCTATTTTATACCTTGAAAACTTGAACCTACTTCTGAAGTATACTATTGAAACTAATAGTGGACCTTTATAGTTGAAATTTAGTTGCTCACTCTTTTATTGTAAACCAGTTTTTTTAAAGGTCCACTTTGTGGTTCTCAGTTTTGGATTAAAATGTGTAAAATTATTCATTACATGTTCAGTCTGTCACTTGAGTGGCGCTCCTGCTGTGGGAGTGCACTAACCACCAGGGGGAAGCTCCTATGTTAAGTGTCTGCCCCCTGGTGGTCAGTGTGTCATAGCGACCAAGTTGACTGGTCGTTCGGTTGTTTGGTTGCTTAGACTTTTATGTATATAGATGGGTAACACAGAAGTAACGAGATTGTATTGTAAAAAGGAAGGAAAGAAGTTCTTTTTTAAAAAAAATATTTTTTTATTAATTTTTTACAGAGAGAAAGGGAGAGGGATAGAGAGTTAGAAACAGTGATGAGAGAGAATCATCGATCAACTGCTTCTTGTACACCCCCTACTGGGGATGTGCCTGCAACCAAGCTACATGCCCTTGACCGGAATCGAACCCGGGACCTTTCAGTTCACAGACAGACGCTCTATCCACTGAGCCAAACCGGTTTTGGCAAGAAATAAGTTCTTATTTACAGTTCCAGTTTGTACAGTTCATAATTCTGACAAGCCTTTCATGGGGATAGCGAGAGGACCTCCAGTTAAATGACTGCTGCATTTGACTTTGATGAAAAGCACAATATTTACATAATCAAATTTGCATATTAAAATACTATTCTAGATTGAGAAGGATGATATTGGAAAAGTTAAATTTCTCAGGAAGCTAGTACCATCATCTCAGTCTAAGATTCTGATTGCAGGCAGAAAAAAGAGAAGGAATAAAAGTTTGGTGATCATGTGAGGTGAAGAGGAGGAAGGAGATAAGAAAAATGTTCAGCTCTTTGGTTTCACCAGCTCCGTGAAGGTGCTGTTTATTGAGTTGGGCATATAGGAGAAGGAGAGTAAGAACTTCTTCCACAAGTATCCAATGTAACCTATTACCCTGTGGAAAGTGCTAAAGAAAATCAGTGTCCTTCATTAGCGTGAGGGGGACATAGCGTCTTTGAGAAAATGACCTTTAAATTCTTTGTCTTGATAATTCCTGAGAAATGAGAATTTGTGACCCTAACTTTCTTCTACATAGTAATTTTTAAAAAATGTGGGGGTTTTTTGGTGTGTTTTGTTTTGTTTTGTTTTTGCTTTTTAAAACTTCTGCCTCTACTGGCTGATTTATTTGGATAAGCTTGTCAGTTTGCCAATACATTGATACTGGACTTTTTGGACATCTGGTCTATGGGTACAGTATCATAAAGGTCTGGAGGCCTGGTTGCCTATGTCCCTTAGTTATGGATTTTGCAATATTATACAATCCTCACTGCATTTCTACACAGTTTCCTTTTCTGTTTCTCCAGGAGACTTAGATTTGTTTGATTTGACCAGCAAGGTAATGACACATTTTTAAAGATCAGATTTTTATTTTCAATTGAAAACTTCTTAAGTATACTGTCTTCATAGTTTGTGGACCACTGATTTATAGCCTTAAAAGGTAAAAGCAAATACAAGAATGACTGTTTATTTTTAAATATGCCCCAGTTTTTCCAAAGCAAACAAATATGGTGCTTTATATGTTTGACATATCCATTAGATTGTTGCAGACATAAAAGAGTAATACTAGCACAAAAAAAAAATTGTGGAAATTTTTAAACATTTAATCATAGAAAAATTAGGCTATAAAGATAAATAATATTTGTGTGTGCTTTTTAAATTTCAGATAGAAAATGCTGCTGAAGAACCTAGAGTCTTATGTATAATACAAGATATTACTAATTCAAAGACAGTGAATGAACGGATCACTTTAAATTTACCAGCTTCTACTCCACTCAGAAAGCTCTTTGAAGATGTAGCCAACAAAGTAGGCTACATAAATGGAACCTTTGATTTGGTGTGGGGAAATGGAATCAATACTGCTGATATGGTAAAACCCTAGACTTAAAGCATTTTCTTTTAAGTGACTAATAATATTATCATAATTATTATTGTTATTATAAGTGACAATATTTAATCCTGGAGCCCTTTTTAATATAAGTAAAACTGTCATATTAAGAGCCTATGTGTCACTCAATAATTGTATCCCTCTTCATCCCTTTGCCTTCATTCTGGATTCAGTATTTGCTTATTCTAAAGTTAGCACCATCAGTTTTTTTATTCATGTAAGATGACTATCATGTTGTGTCAACTCCAGAACACTCTCAATATATAGTGAGTGGAATGGTGTTCCTTTTGTATTTTTTAATGAAAAACATATAAAATTATTTGTGCTTTATAATCTAATTTTTAGAAAAGAAGAAAAGAGTGTATATAGAAAAAGAAATGACTGAAAGTATATACACACCAATGTTAACAGAGATTATATACCAGATAGAGTGATAGGACCCTTATCAGGAAGTTTGGTAGTAATATGATTTCTACTTCAAGGTTCTCACAGTCCAGTTGTAAAGACAGATGTATCAACAATTAATTACACTAACATGTTTTAAATTTGCCATGAGTACAAAGAGGAGGCATTGATCAGTTTTGCATGGAAAGCAGTAAATGAGACTATTGAGTTGGCTCTAATTGCACATTAGAATAATATTCTAAATAATCTTTTTTGTTTCCTATCTCTCAGTCCAAATTCACTCTGCATACTACTTTGAGAATTATCTTTAGTCATTTCAAATTCTAGCACTCGTGTCACCTTTCAGTTCAGAAATCTTCAGTGACTGTTCACTGTCAGCCATTAAAAATCAGACTCCCTAGGCTAGCGTTCAAGACAAGCTGCATTTGGTCTTTTAAGTCTTTGTAATCTTAACTCCCAGATAATGGACTAATTTATTTTCTTAACAGAATTTTCCATGTCCATGTTTTTGTTTATATTACCTCTTTTCATCCTATGCTATTGCTACTCTTAAGTTTTCCAGGAAATACCTGTAATGGCAAATGAAATTAAATGTGTCTCCTATTGGTATTTGGAGGGCATAGTTTTGATTGGCTCCATAGAAGAATACAAGGTATTTGATGTTGCCTTTAAAATTCATGATATTTTACTTTCTATTTTGTAATATATTTGTTTTTTAAAATATGGAACTAATATTTTAAATTAGTCAACTTTTTCTTCTGAAATTGGTAGTCCCACAAAGTATACAAAGAGAAACAATATTTAATCCGAAACTTGGAATGCTCCATTATATCACCATATAATTTCTAGTGTTGCTTCTTTTTTCAGTTTCAAGCAGTGATAGGGAACCTTTTTCTGCCAAGGGCCATTTGGATATTTATAATATCATTCTAGGGCCAAACAAAATTATCAACTTAAAAATTAACCTGCTGTATTTGATCCAAAGTTAATGCCTAATGTCTTGACGGGGCCAGACCAAATGATTTCTCTCGCCTATAAGGCCCTTGAGCTGGATGTTCCCCACTACTGGATTAAAGGATAGTCTATACTGTCATATATGCCTATCCAAGCCCTGGTTGTATTTTACATTTAAGAAGCCTTACTTAATGTTTCCTCATGCAACTTTAAAAGTAATATCTATCTCTTTTTCCTCCTATTCCATATTTTCTTTTGCTGTGCCACTTATTAGTCTCTTCTTATTGTAGAAGAGACTATTCATTTGTGTCTTCCATTTGGTAGAATGTATTTTGATGGCTAGGATCTCATAGTATTAATTTTGTATTCTCTATACATATTTCTGATAGGTACTCAAAAAGTGTTTATTAAGTTAACATCTGCATAGCTTCAAATAGCTCTGAGCCAGGATTACTATTTCTCTTTCTTCAGCTATGGCTGTTCTTAAGTACTCAATTTATATATTTTTATTTGTCTACTCTACATTTCTACAAGTAAACTTTCACCTGCTTACTGCACAATGTTGAATGTATGCTTCTCTGAAAACCTAGCCCATTTAGATACTCACCACTTTGTACACATAGACACGTTTATTGAGATAAAACCCCTATATATTCGAGCTATATCATCTAGTAATCTTTTATTCCCTGCCAGGGTATGTAAGGGACCCAAAGATGCCTTTCCTCTTTCTATGTGGCTTCTTTTAGCTTCAGGTTTTCTATCTGCTATTTTTCTCAAGGATTTCTAGATCCAAAGATAAGAAATAGATTATATAGATCATATAGTTTATTTTATTTCCTTAACATTTAGTTTTGCACTTACTAGGTACCTAGCATTGTTCTAACACTAGGCTCTATACAAATATAATCTTCCTTAATCTTTACAACCATTTTAAAAGGTAGGTGGTGTTACAGCCTCATATTACAGTTGAGGCATCTGAGTGTTAGGAAAGTGAACTAACTTTAACTTGCCCAAAGTCACATAAATATCAAGTGGAAAAACCACTTAAGTTATTTTTTTTTTTTGTCCTTAACACACCTGTACTTTTATAAACTGTTACTTTCCTAAGAAATAAAGGCTTTTCCATAAAACAAGTCCTTCTAAGGAGACATTTCCATGCCTTTAAAACATTAAAAAACATTTCTTACTATAACAAAAATGTTTTAAAACCAAAGAATAGAATGTTCATTTCATCATGCATTTTTCTCAGCAATGGACTGGAGTGTGTGTGAGTGAGTAGGACTTGGAGCATGTTGAGCTCCATCTCTCATTCACTATCTAGAGTGTATCACAATGACAGCTAGGATTGAAACTGCCCTAACTGATAAAAGAGTTAGGTGTTTAATTTTCAAAAGAGTGGTCACTTTTATCCTCCTGAGATCCTCTGGGTCCAGGCAGTGGGCTTAAAATAGGTATCATTTACTAAGAAAGAATTTTCCTTAAAGGGACTATCTAAAAGTGCCCATTTTGTTATACTACATAATTATTTTGGGTTGTTTAGTGTGTTGTTTATCTGGGGATTCTCAATAATTCACATATAAAAACATGATTTTAGTATTTTAGTTATATAAAATTGTCTTTAGTTAATTTTCATGAAAATCCATTAAAACTATATTGCATCCATTTTAGAGAACATAAAGTACAAATGTTTTTAATTCTTTGTGTAGTACTTTACAAGTTCTTAACTTGTTCTCTCTTCAGTTTTTTAGACGTTGGGGTTGGCCATTCTAATACATGAATAAATGAGTTAATTTCAATTGTAGATTAGTAGAATTTACCAGAACCTTTAAAAAATTATTTGAGACAAATAACTAAAGATATGTGTCCATTTGCATATTACTTGTTTTATTTTATTATTGTAGTTAAAGTTTTTCATAATCTGAGATATTTTATTTTATGTTCATAGGCTCCACTAGATCATACCAGTGACAAGTCTCTTCTTGATGCTAATTTTGAACCAGGAAAGAAGAATTTTCTACATTTGACAGATAAAGATGGTGAACAGCCTCAAATAATGCTGGTAAACTATTTTAGAAAGCCCTCTATTCATAATTTTTGTGCAATGTCATCTGCTTGGGAAGCAATTTTCCAACAGGAGGAGGAGAGATGTGTTTTATAATTTATGTATAATAAATTAATTTTCTATTTAATGTTTGTTTGTTGTAAGTGTATATGTTCACATGGTTACACTGAACATCCATAGCACTATTGTTTGTTTATTTAGTCTTTTGCCATGCTGGAAACATAGGTTACCATCTTCAAGACCACCAGGACATCCGGGACAGGGTGTTAAAATGCTACGAAGATCTATTGTATTTCAGTGGCCTTTCCTCTGGTTAAGCATTCGCTTAATTGCTGTAAATCTTTGGCAGTTTTTCCCCATGTTTGTTGGTATTTTGGAGATGGGACAAACCCTCAGAATACTTTACTTTGTCATTTTTGCTCCCAATCCTCGTTGCCTTTGGGGGAATGACTAGTTTGTAAATCATTTTATATATTTTTATTCTTTTAGTGTTTACTCCAATTCATATTTTGATAAGATTTTCTGTCTGATTTAATAGCCTTAGAGACGATCTATCACAATAATTCCAATTTGAGGAGAAAACCTGATGGACTAAAGAAAGGAAGTCTCCAAGAGTTTATGGACTTTTTCAGAAACCTTCTCTTTAATGAAACTTTCTTTCACTAAAAGTTCTATTTGATGCTTTTCATTTAGAAGTCTATTAGAATGCCTCTCTAGACAGTAGGTAATAATTAAACATAGGCTGAAGTATGGCTGAAGCAATATCAGAATGTGCTCTCTTATCTGCTTTAATGTCATTATTTATTTTTATGACATCGTGAGAAGATTTTGATTAGTCCAACATTGAAATCAACTAAAAAATTTAGGAACCTCTGGATTCACAATTTGAGAATTCATGTTTTAAAATATAGTAATTACTCTTCAGCTTTGTCTTAATTGTTTGTGCTGATGCTACATTTTTTAATCCTTTTTGACATTTTTCTCATTAATGATAGATTTCTTGCTGAAGACAGTAGGAAACTTCATTTCACTCAACACTTACTGAATATCCTCTACCTGTGAGGTCTATTTGGCAAGGATGATGTAAAAATTAATGATGGACTCTGTTATCAAGGAGTTCACAACAGAACTTCTGCTTTATTAGTACCAAAAATATCTCTTTTTTCTCATGTAATTGAAAGAAAATTAAAGAAAATTGGGAAAGTTAAGAATTTTGGGAGGAAACATGAGCAACTCTCCAAAGTGTTTTCTAAAAAGCATCTTTCAATCCTCCCTACAGGAAAGCTGAGGATATACACTCCTTTAAATGTCTTGGTGGTAAAAATAATAGTAAGGCCTCATCTTTTTCCTTTGCCTCAGCAATTAGTATGTCTTTTCTTCATTGTTTTAGCCACTTCTACCATTTAATAAATATTGATTATACTGTATTTTAGGAGGATTCCAGTGCTGGTGATGACAGTGCGCATGACAGATTTATAGGTCCACTTCCAAGAGAAGGTTCTGTGGGCTCAACCAGTGATTATGTCAGCCAAAGCTACTCCTATTCATCCATTTTGAATAAATCAGAAACTGGTAAGATTCATTGTTGTATTTTTATGAAATAGAGGGCATTTCAAGAGCAGTCTCAAGCCTAATCCCCTCATTCTATGGATTAGAAAACAAGATTCAGAGTAAGATCAGTAGTTAACAGAAGCAAAGTTAGAACAAGAATGTAGTTTCCTTATTCCTCAACCTATTGTTATTTTTACTGTTTTGTTATTGCCACTTTTTAGTAATAAAGTAAAAAATATTGAGTTTGTATTTTGAAGGAAGATTTATTTTTTGGTAAGTTTGTATTCAAATTTAATTTTAAATGTTTTACTTCCTCTGGAAAGGAATGTCTGCTATCTTTTGGACTGGAATAGACTACAGGGGATAGATCCATTTTGAAGCAGATAAACCAGGCTCATTTTACTAGACCTACTAGAGGCCCCATGCATGAATTCGTGCACTAGTAGGGGTCTGGCCAGCCCTGCCCCTGACCAAGCCCACCCTCTGGTCGAACTCCCGGTCAAGGGGACAATTTGCATATTAGCCTTTTATGATAGAGGATTATGTCATCTTTCAGTTTAACCTAATAATATATTTGACATTGATCATGTAATTTTAAAATCTGCTCCCCTTTTCCCAAACATGATTAAACCTAGATTTTTAACTTTTTAATATTTATCGACTATGAAATTGCTTTTTTTATACAAAGGCTATTCCTTTATATATAATTGGTAAATTGCCTAAAAATGTAATTCAGATACTTTTGCATCATGGCATCTTACAATAAATTTTTGCTATAAATAATATTCATATTAAAAGAAATGGAAACATAGGTACAGAAAAGTCTTTGATTTTGCAATAGTTAATGCTAGCTATGGCTTTTTTGAACATTTAGTCTTAGAACTTCAAAACAAATGATTTCAAGTATTACATACAAATATTTGATATAAAAAGAAAACTTTAGAGTTACATTGCATGTTTTGTTTGAGTGGGATTGGTAACCTTCCACTTACTGTATGTTGTAGTTAAAGATGTATATTAATTTCCTCAGAGCTAACTATTTGTGTAGGCTAAATGGTGTATTTGTTATGGACATAGGACCATTTATATCAGTAGGACTTTTTGCAGGAAACTATCAAGAATAAAAGGAAATGCAAAATTATCTTGTATTTCAGACAATAGGCGACAATAAAGCTGTTTATCTTTTATACTGTCTACTTGAGACTTGGTGCATAAAATTTGTGGACTCAGAAGGATCCCTCAGCCCAGCCTGTGCCCTCTCCCCGTCTGGGAGCTGTCAGTTGGCATCCTTAGTGCTGCCGTGGGGTGGGAGAGGCTCCCACCACCGCCATTGCACTCGCCAGCTGTGAGCCTGGCTTCTGGCTGAGCAGCCGCACTCCCCCTGTGGGAGTGCACTGACCACCAGGGGGCAACGCCTGCATTGAGTGTGTGTCTTCTGGTTGTCAGTGCACGTCATAGTAGATTTACATATTAGCCTTTTATTATATAGGATAATAGTGATTCTCAAATTTTAAAAATTGAATTTTATTGTTTAAAGTATTACAAATAGTAGCACATATGTCATCTTTTCCCCCCATTGACCTTCTCACAGCCTCCCCTACCCCCCAGCACATGCCCTCACCTCAGCCCCCCAATGTCTTGCTTCCATTGGTTATGCTTATATACATGCATACAAGTCCTTCAGTTGATTTTTTACCTCCTCCCCCGCAACCCTCCCCAGCCTTCCTGCTGTAATTTGACAGTTTATTCGATGCTTCTCTGCCTCAGTATCTTATCTATTTTTTTTCCCCATCAGGTTATAGTGTTCTTTATTATCCATAAATGAGTGATATCATGTGCTATTTTTCTTTCACTGACTGGCTTATTTTATTTAGCATAATGCTAATCATTTGGAGATGGGATACTTGTTAAAAATGTAGGTTTCAAAGCAATGCTGATTAGCTGCTCTGGAGCAGGCTGGATAAATTGCATTTTGTTTTAAATAAGCACCTTATGTTATTCTGAGATAGTTGGAATACCAAGAAAATTCCAGATTTAAAAACAAGGATTCTTAAAATATTTGCTTTGTATTCTGACAACCAGTTCAGCCTTATGCTACAAGCATTTATAAAACTCTTTATTCGTGCTGTAGAGTATATTAGAGGCCTGGTGCACAAATTCATGCACAAGCGGGATCACTTGGCCTGGCCTGTGGGATCGGGCCAAAACCAGCTCTTTGACATCCCCCGAGGGGTCGCAGATTGTGAGAGGGCTCAGGCCCAGCTGAGGGACCCACCTGTGCATGATTGGGCCCATGTAGGGAAAAGGGAAGTTGGCCAACTGGGGAGAGACCACAGAAGGGCTCCAGGGCATGTCTGGCCCCTCTTGCTCAGTTCCTATTGGCCAGACCTCAGCAGCAAGCTAACCTACTGGTTGGAGTGTCTGCCCTATGGTGGTCAGTGCACGTCATAGCAACTGGTCAACTGATCGGCTGTCACCTGGTGATCAGTGCACGTCATAGTGAGCATTTGAGCGACCTTAGCTTATCATTAGCATATTATGCTTTGATTGATTGAATGGATGACCAGACATTTAGCATATTAGGCTTTTATTATATAGGATGGCTTTTTGATGCCCCTAAATTCTTAAAGACTAAAACATACTTTTAAAATGTTTTCTCTTTCTTTATACAAATGTAATACAGATTCATTTTCATATTGTAAAATGAAAATCATCGACAGTCCTCCTAGCAGAAACTACTTTTAGTGATTTGCTTATTTTTATCTTTTTTCTCTCTATATATATTTATACTCTAGTGGCCTGGTGCACGAAATTCATGCACTTGGAGGGGGATCTCCTAACCTGGCCTGTGCCCTGTCACAGTGTGAGAGGCATTGGCATGTATATATACATGCTTTTTAGAAAATAGGGCAATCATGATATGAGCATATTTTTAATCTATATATATATATTTTAAAAAAATATATTTTATTGTTTTTGTACAGAGAGGAAGGGAGAGAGACAGAGAGTTAGAAACATCGATTAGAGAGAGTCATCAATCAGCTGCCTCTTGCACACCCCCCACCGGGGATATGCCCACAACCAAGGCACATGCCCTTGACCGGAATCGAACCCGGGACCCTTCAGTCCCCACGCCGACTCTGTCCATTGAGCCAAACAGGTCTCTGCTTTAATCTATATTTTTAACTTAATACTTTATGGGACAATTTTTATGCTATTAGTATTTTAATATGGGTTTAAAATTAAAATGGCTGAAAATTAGTATTTTAGTATATTTTTAGGGATTTAAACTATTACTGGTTTTATAATGAAAATTCTTACATATAAGTTTTTATTTTCATTGCTGGTTTATTTCCTTAGGGTAAGTTCCCAGAGCTTGAATTATTAAGTTTAAATTTATTTTTAAGACATTTTACAGGCCTTTGATATACATTGCCATGTAATCATAGTCTTTATTCCCAATTATTGTTCCTCATACACATCTACTCCTATCCTTTTTTCCCATCTGTACATTTTTCTTCAGTATTCTGGGGTAGTGCTTTTCCGAATTGAAATAGTATATAAGCATCCCAAGGAGTTGTGCTTCAAAACTTATTTTGATCACTAGACACATGTGTAAAAAAGCTGTAGTATATATAGACAATGGAATATTACTTGGCCATAAAAAGAATGAAATCTTATATTTGTGACAGTATAGATAGATCTAGAGTGTATTATGATATGTGAAATAAGTCAGTCAGAAAAAAAATTTAGATAATTTCACTTATATGAGGAAATCTCAAGAGCAAAATAAATGAGCAAACAAAATAGAAGCATGCTCATATAAAAAGAACAGACTGATGATTCTTAGAAGGGGGAGAGATTAGGAGGCTGGGTGAAAAAAGGTGAAGAAATTAAGAAGTACATATTGGTAGTTACAAAATAATCATGTGGATGCACACTACAACATAGGGAATACAGTCAGTTATGTTGTAATAACTGTGTATAGTGCCAAGTGGGTACTAGAAATATCAGGGGGCACATGTTGTAAAGATGATTCTCTAATCACTATATATACAGCTGAAACTAATACCAAGTAATATTAAATGTAAACTAATTGAAAAATAACATTTAAATTAAAAACAACTTATTTTGTATTTGCGTTTTCCTTAAGAAATTATTGTAAATCTTGGCACCATGTGTAAAATGTTTTCCTTGGATAATGCTCTCATGATTTCAACACAGACTCTAGGAGCATATTTCTCTATAATGCAGGGGGTATGGGATCTTAACATATTCTTTCCTGTCTTATTTGCCTACCAACTCTTCTTTGGTAGCTAGCTACTGTAAATAGAAAATGATTGGGGGATGAGGAGGTATGAATTCTGAGGAATGAAGAGTGGATTGAAGGCTGAAATGGCCCCATATGTGATTAGAAATTATGTGACTGGTTATGTTTCATTATTTAAATGCATATCTGTTCTTGGTCAGTTTCTTGAATAGTTCTTTTATCTGCTCCAGGAGTTTACCTGTTTGATTTATTACCTATTGTTTCTATTCAGGATTTCTTTCTGCATGTGTCTTCTAAAAAAATTGCATACATTCTTACATTCTTTCCCCTTACTGGCTTATACTTAACAGTATTATTCACAACTATTTCAGATAGAAGACCCACTTGATGATAATTGTCATTTGAAGTTTGTTGATTTAGATGATGCATAATGAGAAAATATTTATATTAATTCAGTAGCACTTTTAACTTGTTTAACTAAAATCTTCATATTTTGAAAAATAGTAATACATTTATGTGAGACATTGTTCATTCTGCTTAAATGGTGTTAAATCAAGTACAAACAACCATAGGTTTTTATATTACTTTATTGCTAATGGCAAAATAATGAGTGATGGCAAAAGTGAATTGCTATTTCTTCCTCCTTCCTATAAAACCCCTTTTCCCCTCCCTCTCTCTTTTTTATTAAGCCCAGGGAAGGGAAACCAAGTCAAAATAAATGCTACATGATTGGTCTGCAGGTGCACAAAGGACAATAGTAGTTTTAAAGGGGTATGTAAAGTGGTTATCCTTGACTATTGAGGAATTGGGCAAAGGAGATGGAGAAGAGGAAAATTCCCAGGCAGCCATAGCTGAGAAGAAAGTGCAGAATAACCTGATCTCTTGGACAGAGTGCTTTGTGGGGAAGAGTCTGTTTACATGGACTAAGAATGAAATAATGTTTATTATTATTAACAATCAGGCTAGATATACAGATTTGAGTTACTTGTATATCATATGCACTTTTCCTTTATGTGCACCTACTGCTTACAGATTTGACCACTGCCGTTATGGTCTAATAAGGAAGAAATAGATGTAAATAGGTAATGACAAATAGTGAGATAAAGTCTCTGATATAGATTAAAAACAAGATGTTATATAAACAACTCAGGTAAGGGATGGTTAGTAATTTAAGCAATTTATAATTATAAAAAATGTAAAATATGTAAACATAGTTTTTAAAATAAAGATTAAAGCCTTTAGAGATGAAAGCTGAATCTTAATCCAAAGTAAAAGGTGTGTAGCTGCTTGGTCTCTTAGGTACCAATAGTGTGGAATCTATTCCTTTTTTTCACAACTGACCAAGATTCATCATGCATAATTTTTCGTCCTTTACCTTCTTTAGCAATATAGTTATCCATAGAGCCTCCCTTTTCTTTTCTTTTCTTTTCTTTTCTTTTCTTTTCTTTTCTTTTCTTTTCTTTTCTTTTCTTTTCTTTTCTTTTTTTCTTTCTTTTTTTTCCTCTTTCTTTCTTTCTTTCCTTCCTTTCTTTCTTTTTTTCCTTTTTTTTTCAATCCTCACCTGAGGATATTTTTTTAATTGATTTTTAGAGAGAAAGAGAAAGGGAGGGAAGAGGTGGAGGGAGGGAAGAAAGGAGGGGAGGAGGTAGGAAGATGGGGGAGAAAGAGAGAGTCATCATGTGAGAGAGACACATCGACTGATTCCCACCCGAATGTGCCCCAAATGGCACCATGGATTAAACCTACAATTGAGGTACATGCTCTTGACCAGGAATCAAACCCTTTGGTTTTCAGGCTGAACTTTTTTTTTATTTTTTATTTTTATTTTATTGATTTTTTACAGAGAGGAAGAGAGAGGGATAGAGCGTTAGAAACATCGATCAGCTGCCTCTTGCACACCCTCTACTGGGGATGTGCCCGCAACCAAGGTACATGCCCTTGGTACAACCAAGGATGTGCCCGGAATCGAACCTGGGACCTTTCAGTCCATAGGCTGACGCTCTATCCACTGAGCCAAACCAGTTTCGGCATAATACTTCTATTTTTTGAAGAGCACTTGTGAATATTTAATGAACTCCTGTGGCTTCAAGCTACCAGAACACAATCCATCCCAGCTTAAATTTTAAGTTCATATAAGTTTCTCCTTTTCTCTTTCCCTCTTCTTCTTCCCTCCGATCTTTCCTGCTTCCATCTCTTACTTCTCTTCTTACTCTTTGCATAGCAATGCTGATCTATAGAATCTCATACTTCATGGCATGTTAAAATAAATGAAGTCATTCTGAATTTTATGTTATTAATTCCTAGTAGAAGTTGGGTTATAGGGCCTGATGACAGAGATAACTGGTTCAGTTCAGTCTTCCAACATTGGGCGTGTGTGTTAAAGTGAATATGTTTGTACTTTTCCATTTTAAACCACAACTTTTAGATTTGGGGAACAATGATTATTTTTATGTCAATTAAACACTGTATTAAACATATTTCTCTTAAAATTTTATTAAATACTATATAACATCCATGTATGTCTCTGGACATAAAAATATCCTGACTTTCTGAGAAGCAAGGTTTACATAGTGCACATATTTCTTAGGTGGTGTTGAAAGAATGGAAATAATCTTCAACTAAGTAACCTTAACCTCTCCAAGTTTACTGTGTTTTAAATTCTTACTAAGTTCATTTTTGTTATTTTTTTTTTAATATAAATGCTGATTCATGTATATTTGTGTTTTCTTTTTAAAGGTTATGTGGGATTAGTAAACCAGGCAATGACTTGCTATTTGAATAGCCTTTTGCAAACACTTTTTATGACTCCTGAATTTAGGAATGCCTTATATAAGTAAGTATTTAAAAAATTCTATAACTAAAACTGATTAAAAATTAAAATATAGTTTTTAAGGAATAAAATCAAATTTATCTTCTTACAGTCACTTTTAAAGTTTGGGGCATTTCTCACTTCATAAAACACACCAGAATAATATATAAGAAAAGCATTGTATGAGAGATTGGCATATGAAAAACTTGTGAGGAGTGAGAATCAGAAGTTCATAGACAGCAAAGGATACAATTGATCAGATTTACATTTGGGATAAATTATTGTTTATAAACTTCCCTTCTTTATAACTTTAACACCTTTATGAAGAAATATGTTATCTTCTTTTTGAGATAATCTTAATATGTAAACCACTTCTTTCCCTCACTTCTCAATTTAAGAAGCAAAGTTGTAGTTTTAAACTTGTAAACTTTGTTTCTAATTAACGTATAAAGCAACTGTTCTGTGTTTTCTGTTTGTGTGTGTGATTTTGTTTTTTTAAAAATTTTACAGAGAGGAAGGGAGAGGAATAGAGTTAGAAACATCAATGAGAGAGAAACATCTATCAGCTGCCTTCTGCACACCCCCTATTGGAGATGTGCCCGCAACCAAGGTACATGTCCTGACCGGAATCGAACCTGGGACCCTTCAGTCCACAGGCCGAGGCTCTATCCACTGAGCCAAACCGGTTAGGGCTGGCTGTGTGTGTGTTTCTTCTAAAAGACTGTATATACATCAGATATTTTAAAATATATTATGGAGTCCATATGTAAGTAAACCCTAAAGTCACGCATTTATTAATATTTTTATGAATGCCTATGATAACACATTTAATACAGCCTCACCTCGTATGTTTTCTTTAAGTTTACATAACTTTTATTTTTTTAAGACATTTTAAAATACAAATAAACCGACTTCTTTCCATTTTCATGTTACTTTTGAGTAACATCTTTTGAATTATAAATATGTATTTAAAGTATTTTGGGAACTTTTAATATTAGTCATATTGTTCAAACAACATTCTAGTACTGCTGCATTTATGTGTAAGCTCAATTTACTTATAAAAATTGACATTTTTTTTTTTTTCATTCAGCAAGTATTTGTTACCCAGTAGTGTCTATATGCTAAGCACTTAGTGGATAGACATGGAGTTAGAAATAAGGTCTTTGTTCTTAAGGAAATGACAGATTGCTTCACAAAAGCAACATGTGTATGTATGAAATACTTAAAAAAAAAACAAACATTTAAGAATAGCTAAATACCATGAGAATTTAGTGAGTAGGGTAATTAAGGAAACTTGAAGAAGTGGTTTAGTTTAGAAAGTATAATTTGGGGTCATGAAGGTAGGTATGGTTTAACCAGGTTGGGAAGATAGAGACAACATTACAGATAGGGGGACTTTTGAGAGTAAAAATGAGCATTAATAAGTGCTCTCTGAATGTTGGTATTATTTTGCATCAGACACTGTGCTGGGCACTTTACGTATAGCTTACTTTAATTCTTATGGTAACTATGAATTACACATTGTTATTATCCACATTTTACAAAGGAGGTAACTGAAGGCACAGAGAGGTTAAGTACTTTGTCAGAGGCCACAATGCCAGAAGTACACACCCAGTACATAGCAGAATCCCTTCCCTATTCTGCCTGTACTGTAGCTGATGCTAATAAGTATAATATGCCTAGAGGTCTCCTAGAGGTAGCATGATTGGAGTTTGTCAGAGTACTAAAAGTTGTGGTTAAGATATGGAGTCGAGCCTGCCATTCAAAACAGTACATATTAAACAGTCTATGGTGGCCGAAATTGGTTTGGCTCAGTGGATAGAGCATTGGCCTGCGAACTGAAAGGTCCCATGTTCGATTCCGGTCGAGGGCATGTACCTTGGTTGCGGGCACATCCCCAATAGGGGATGTGCAAGAGGCAGCTGATCATGTTTCTCTCTCATCGATGTTTCTAACTCTCTATCCCTCTCCCTTCCTCTCTATAAAAAATCAATAAAAAATATTTTAAAAAATAAAAATAAACAGTCTATGGTGATGTGCCTGCTTTGGCAAGTAGTGCATAGAATGGGGAGTCCAGGAAATAACCATGACTCCTAATCCCTGAAAGTGGTCTGTAAATATCTAGCATGGTGGAGAAGACTAAGAGCATAGCCAAGTCTACTCATTCAATAAATACGTATTGAGTACATACTGTGTGTTAAGCACTGAAATGACAATAGTGAATAAGACAGAGTCTCTCCTTTCAGCTTATATAAATGAGTTCTTTTGCATAGTCATATATGCCATGAAGAAAATAAAGCAGGACTATGTGGAAAGAGTAACTGTCGGGAGGTTGAGTAGTCAGGGAATACTAAGGAACTACCATGTGACTAGACTTCACAGGAGCCAGTCCAGTGAAGATCTAGGAGAAGAGCATTTGAGACAAAACTGCAAGTCAAGAGCAAAGGCCTTTTAGAAACAAATCCATTGTGACTGGACCCAGTGGTGAGGAGAGGCAGTGAAACATAAGATTAAAGAGGAAGGCCAAATGCCATGGGGATTGTGAGAATAGAGTGATGTTCCAGTTGGGAAACAAAGCCTGAGAGCCTGATGATGTTTTATAATATAGAACCAAAGAAAGGATGGCTCTAAAAAGGCTGGACCTTGCTGCATTACAGTTAGGGTAGCACTAGCCTGAATGGATAGGATTCTGTTTCTTTATTTTCCTCACTTGTTATATGATAGCCAACAGAGACTACCACTTTAGATGTTGAGGCATATAAGTGATGCATTAAATACATTGTTTTAGGAAAACTTACATATGTCAACATGCAGAATTGATTTGAAAAGTAGGGAACCCTGAAGAACTCTCTTGTTAAACTAGATATGGATATAGGAGGGTCAAAATGAAGTTGGTGACAGTGGGTATTTCAGATTGAAAACTGATATGACTTAATCACAAATTTTATTTAGGAGTAAAGAAAAAGGAAGAATCAAATATGGCACCAAAGTTTCTAATTTAGGTGATCAGAATATCATAAGTAACAATAAGATGAAAAAACTTTTTAAGGCCCAACCAGGGTGGCTCAGTAGTTGAGTGTTGACCCATGAACCAAGAGATCACTGGTTGGATTTCCCAGTCAGGGCATATGCCTGGGTTTTGGGCTCAGTTCCCATTAGGTGGAATGCAGAAAGCAGCCGATTCATATTTCTCATCAATATTTCTATCTTTCCCTCTCCCTTTATCTCTCAAATCAATAAAAACATATTTTAAAAAAACAACACCACCTTTTAAAGGTATTTATACCAGGCATAAAGGACAGGTAAGAATTCTGTTGTATATTATAGTAATTCCTCTTCACTTAGTGAATTTTCCTAGCAAAAAATTTAAGCATTCTGTATTTTGACTTTACAGGTTTTTTTTTTTTTACAGCTACTGGGGGAATTTTAGAACCTATAATGTCAAGTATAAATCCCTTCTAATGAGAAAAATAAGAATAAAAGAGGGCTAGGGTTTGAATATACAGAAGTGGATAATGACGAGGTGTTTGCAAGGAAGCTTTGAAAAGAAAAAAGTTAAATGTATTCCACTGACACCTGCAAAACAGAAGGGAGCTTTGGTTATAAAAAAAAGGAAAGGATTCAGAACTGCAATTTCTTAGCCCTAAATAAACAAAGTATTGAATACTTTAACAGAAGGACATACCAAAAGAAGGAAAAAGAGAAGGAAGATTTTTAGTATACACATCACTTGCATTACAGGAAAGTTAATGTTGCAACCTCCTTTGAAACTAAGAAAGTTCTAGTGAGGAAGTGGAAAGTAATAATATTATTGCCAGCTTAAGAGAAAGAGAATCATTAATATGTCCTTATTTAATTTTGTCTTTGGCATTTTATTTTATTGTATATAAATTATTTTAAGGATTTTTGTGGCTTTATTACAAACTTTAATCCCACCAAATCTTATTTTTTCAATGAGCTCTTAAGTCCTTTGATTAGGAATTTGCTTTTTATTGAGGCAGTCCTTGTAGTTAGGGTTAGAGTAATGTTTATCAGAAATATATTGAAGATAAATATTGAATCTGGATTACTTTATTTATTTATCCTAATTTTAAAAACATCTTATTAAGGAAAATTTCAAACATTAAAAAATAGTGAAATGTTATTATGAATATATCTGTGCCTATCATCAGCTTTGATTGTTATCAACGCAAGATCAATTATTTTATTCTGTAATCCTTCGCTCTAATTTTTTGGAAGCACACTCCTGTCATATCACCTAAATTATAAAAATCTGTTCAAATTGATTGGTAAGTCCCTTAATCTATTTAATCTATTTTTAGTCCCTTTCTGTCTTTTCCCACCTTATAATTTATTTCTTGAAAATATATTTTCACTTGTCCTGTAATTTCAACAGTTTGATTTTGATGTTTGAATTCCATAGTGTCATTTCATAATTGTTCTATCCCCTGTATTTTATGTGAATAATTAGAACAAGGGTCTTGATCAAATTTAAGTTTGACAATTACTTTTAAATATGCTTTGTCTTTCATTCATGTTGCTTTCTAATGTCTTTTATTAATGTCTAAATTTGCTCTGAATTTATGAATTCTAGAAAGGCTAGTGTTTCATTAAATATTAATAGCTTCAGTTAAAATCCATGGTCTATATAGGCTCTTACATTACTATAATGTTAATATTAATTATGCTTTAAGGAATAAAAATATTTTATAAATAATTTTTAATCATTTCATTTCAATAGGTGGGAGTTTGAAGAATCTGAAGAAGATCCAGTGACCAGTATTCCATATCAACTACAAAGGCTTTTTGTTTTGTTACAAACCAGCAAAAAGAGAGCAATTGAAACCACAGATGTTACAAGGAGCTTTGGATGGGATAGTAGTGAGGGTACTAATTCTTTTGTAATGATAAATGTTTCTAATATTTAAAGGAATCCTAGCAGAGAATATTATAAACAAATAGCAAAATAATACAAATTAAGAACTTCATTAACTTTACCTTAAACGTTTTCACTCTTTTTGCTGGGGGTTAAAAATAACTTATTTTAAAAATTTAAGTTCTGAGGGATACATTTTTTATTATGTATATTTTCTTAGTCCTCACTCCAAGGGTAAGATTATTTTTTCCATTGATTTTTAGAGTAGAAGGGAGGAGGTGAGGGAGGGTGGGAAGAGAAACTTCCATGTGAAAGAGATACATGGATTGGATGCCTCCTATTCTTGCCCTGATACGGGCAAGAGATTGAATCTGCTAAGGAGGTACTTGCCAGTGACTAGAAATTGAACCCTTAACCCTTTGGTCCTCGGACCAACGCTCTTAACTAAGCAAGACAGGCCAGGGCTAAATATTTTATAATTAAAAATTTCCTCTAAAATACACTTGGTTATACTCTATGTCTATTTAACTAAAAAAATTTAAATTTGTCATCTTAGATTTTTCTTAACTCTACAGTGGAAAAAAAAAGAATAATAGCAAATATTACACATAGCACATTAAGCATATGTTATTTGTAAATGTTGAGATCTCTTCTTTCCTGTAATTGCTTTTTCATGACTGTAATGTGTATTTTTTTTTGTTAGTAGTTTGCATAGACTTTTCCATGAAATTTGTCTTTAACAACAACTTAGCATTTTATTACTCTAAATGTATTGCTATTTTAATTAAATTTTGTCTTAAAATAGCTTGGCAGCAGCATGATGTACAAGAACTGTGCAGAGTCATGTTTGATGCTTTGGAACAGAAATGGAAACAAACAGAACAGGTAATTCATCTCTCTCAAGTTGAGGGGAGTGTTTTCTAATAAATCATTCATTACCCTAAAGGGACTTTTATTCTTTTAAAATGTTTTGATGTGTTTATAGTTCAATTGTGAAAATACTAAATGGGGAATTGAAAATACTAGGTTCAATGAACTGAGAACCTAATTAAAAAATAATAAAAATTCTCGTTAAACCTACTGTAGATCTCAGTTTCCTCATCTTTATGATAATGAATTTGGGCTTTATTATCTAGTAGATTTCTTTTTAGCTAAAAACTACATAATTCTTACGTATATGTGTGTGCATGCATGCATACATATATATGAAATGTGGTATACATGATTTAAGGAGATGATCTTTGAACAGTATTTTCAGATATTAAGTGAAATATATGTCTTATAATCTGTAGCACATTACAAAGTATATTCATCAAGCATTACCTTAGTTTTGACCATAGTCATAGGTTTTTCACATTAAGGATCCATGTTATTCTGACCCTATTTTTCTTATCCTCCGGAAGGAGGACTGGGTTAAAAGAATGAAAAAACCTTAGATATGTCATTGGGATGAGGAGTAAGGCTGAATTGGATGAGACAGAGGATCAGCACAGAGGATGTATACTGGGTTGCAGTGATAGAGGATCACAGAGATAAAACAAGGGGACTCGGTGGAGAATCAGGACAACAGCCTGGAGGGTCTGTTTTCTCATTGAAACTATTAAGGTGGTGTGGGCCAGAGGTTTTAACACGTAAAATGCCCAGTCAGTCACCAGTAATTGACACTATACTTTCTGTACGGAAGACAAAACAGGCTGGGCACTTAACGTGTTAAACTAGATTGTGATCCCTTCATGGTTTATGTTTAGTGAATATACACCAGCACTTAAAAAAAAAAAAGGAACAGAATGGAAAAGTATAAGAGAGCATCACATAAGTAAGGGTAAGTATTAATTATTGTTATGTAACTTTAGTTACAGTTAAATGTACAGGGTTGCAATGAAAATTTCTGTGTTATTGAAACTGAAAAACACTGGATTGAAGCACTACAAAATTACAGAGAAGACAAAATCAAATGTGACTGGGACAGAAGAATGAAGAAGGCTTCATTAAATATTAGAATAGACAATGATGGTGGATCCTAGTTTGAAGGCTTATTAAGTCCTAGATATTAGAAGAGATTTAAATTTATGAGAGGTTTATATAATGTGCCTTAAGAGATTTGAAAACATGTTAAGTTTATTTAGTGATCTAGTTTCTCTAAACAGTCCTGTGGGATTGTATTTTAGTAATTTATATAGATGGTATTAGTGGCCTGTTTTTTTCTTCATAAGTCTGAAGTTCCCTTCTTCTTACTATATCCCTCTGTGAGTTAACACTTTTATTAAGAGCAGCTGGGGCATTCCTGCTGCGTTCCAAAGTTTGGGTACAAGAATCTTGAGACGAGACATTCACATGGAGGGAGGTTCCTTACTTAGGGAGTTATGTGCCTTCTTTGGGCCAGGTAAGAGATCCATTATTTTAGGTGAGGGTATTTTAAGGGAGATGGAATTTAAGATTTTTGAAATTTTTCTGTACATTAAAAATAAATTATAACCTCCTTAAAAATAGTTTTATATATGTTACTGAAAGCTAGAAAGTTTTATTTGTGCTAGCAGATATGATTTTAAAAATATGAATATATTATTGTGAGAGTGGTCATGCATATGTAAAGCTATAAAAACAGCCAGTTAAATATCAATATATTGTGTAATTATCAATGTACCTAAAGCGATAGATTAGGGAGTATTTTCAGCCTAATTAAAAGATATGACACTTAATACTATAATAAATTGGTAACTGATTTTAACTGAACATTGTTTAATGATAGGGTTTTTAATTTTATATATATATATATATAGCATATATATATATATATAGCATATATATATAGCACATATATATATATAGCTAATATGCAAAGTGTCCCCTTGGGAGTTCAACTGGGAGACGGGGAGCTTGACCACCAGGGGATGGCACAGAACAAAGGAAGGCCCCGACCAGCAGCCAGGAAAGGGAGGCCCGACCTGGAGCCGGAAGGCCCTCATCAGCTCTGATCCCCAGCCAGGCCTAGGTCCCTAGGTTGATTTTTGACCCTAGGTTTATTTTTATCAAGCCTTGACTTTTTTCCAATAGAATTTTAGACAAATCTTAAATTAAAGCTTTCTGAAACTTCAGTAAAAATGAATATCCTTTTGATATTCATATTTCAAAGCATAAATTATGTTTTCACGTTTTTAAGGAACACTTTAAAATGTAAATGTTCTTATTTTTAGGCTGATCTTATAAACGAACTATATCAAGGCAAGCTGAAGGACTACGTGAGATGTCTGGAATGTGGTTATGAGGGCTGGAGAATCGACACATATCTTGATATTCCATTGGTCATCCGACCTTATGGGTCCAGCCAAGCATTTGCTAGTGTGGTGTGTACCTTTCCGCTGACTGCTTGTGTATACACAGAATACATAATAGCACAGTGGTATAATCTTTCATAAGGTAAGTATCATCCTAGATACACCTTCTTGGGTTGTTAATCATTCCTGCATTTAAGCTAGCAAGATCTAGAAGATTTTTGACCCTTCAGTGAGTCCTAATAGTGCATGTATACATGTATACGAGGGAAAGTAAATGCATATGTACTGCCTCATGGCTCAGTGTTTTATTCTTTATGATAGTTGACTAGATTATTTCACTTTTTTTTTTTTTAAACCTCTAAACAATCTATTCCATAAATGCTATTTTGTGACCTTTTGTTGCATAGAGAAGTACATTTGTTTTTGGGGCATTTTGCTCCATATACTTTTAAAATTGGAAAAATAACCTTTGGTTTAATGATAAGCAGAAGCCACATTTTTAAAGGAGCATTCCTATGCTAAAATTTATTGAATTATACATTTAAGAAGCACAGATAATTTGAAGAATCAGAACTGTATATGGTTAGTTTATATATTGAATATGTAAGTGGGAGATTTCCTAGTCTTCCTGTTAACCGTTTAATTGCTTTTTGTTATTATTAATTGCATTTTATCCTTATGTGTTTACTTATGTGAAAAGAGAGTCACAGAAGGAGTTATGTTTATATTTAAAATGAGAGAATTCTGAAACATTTATTTAGAACATATTATGAGCCAGGAGAAACTTTCAAAGCTAACTAACACATCTAAAAAAAGTAGAATTTTGTCATGATGTTGTTTGGGCCTTATTTATGCTAACAAACTGATAGTGGCTTGTAGCTAAAATCAGTGTTTTTAAAGCTAGTTCATACTTTATCTAAAATAGTGCTACATGTGTGGCTTAGTTTTCTGGTCTCTAGGACAATTGATTCCCTTCGCTTTTTTCTTCTACTTTTATACAGCTAACATAAAATGATCAGCAAGAAATTAGGGAATTTATTGGTGGAATCCAATGTAAAAGCCCTTTCCTGGATAGTGGCAGGTTAGGTCTCCTTTCCTTCACTCTTTTTTAGTTTACTTCCTGAGTAGATTTGAAAAATTTTGTGCCCTTGGTAAACTGCCATTTTAGGTATGTGAGATTGGCTGAGGTTTGAATTACCAGTTTTGTTTTTCATTTTGTTTTGCTTTTACTTTATTTTGGCAGTTTAAGTAGAAGTGACATACTGAAAAACCATTGGGAATTAGTTAGCACTTGTCTTTTAATGGTTTGTTTTCCTAACTCATTTTTAAATATTGTCACTTCTTGAGCAAAAATATACTAGGGAAATATTTGATAGGCTCAAGTGATATAAAATATTTTTTCTAATTTGTTTACAAAAGTACTTTTAAAAGATTTTTCACGTATACATTTAGTTTTTTTATGTATTCATTGAATGTTGGGGAAGACAAATGTTTATTTGTCTTTTGCAGTGTTCTATTTGAGTCTTCAGCAAATATAATTGCTTAGCTAATTTTTTTGTCATTATTTATTTACCTACTGAATTGCCACCACTCTCTTAAGTACATTATAGACACAGCAGAGGAGCTATTTGGAGAATATTTTTGAAAGAGTGTATAAAGTCACATTTCTAAGTGGAATTCTCCAAAGGTAGTATCCTTCCTTAAAACACAGATGGTGGTGGTGATTCAGTGGGAACTGGAAGCTATAGCTATGAGGCAGTATGTGAGCAGGTTTATAACACACATGCGCTAATAGGGCTTGCAGAAGGTAACCTAAAACTTCCTAGACTTTGCTGGAATCTCTTGAGGGAAATAAAAGCAGGTGAAACTACCCAAGATAGGGGTTCTAAGGAGGATACTACCTTCAGAGAACTTTAGTTAGAGGTAAGTGACTTCCCATTATTTTCTGAATTCAAAACTTACAATCTATACTTCTCAATCCAAAGAAATCATCACACAGCATCTAAAAGTAATTTTATATCACTGTTTGCCATTGTGTATTTTGTTAACTTTATGTGTTTAAAAGGAATTGTATAAATGTGGATTGTAAAAATCTAGTTAAAAGGAAAATTGTAAAATCTCATTAAGGCTATATATAATAATTGGCCTTAATTTGAATTGAACTCTTCTTAAATTTATTTTGCAACTTTTAATTTTGGATTTCGGTTTGTTTGTTTTTTGTCATACACACACACACACACACACAAGCACACATACATACATACACACACACAACATTGACAGTTATATGTTCTGTTTATGGTATGTTCTGTTCAGTGTACCACCATATCAGTGAGGATGAATAACACCTAAGTTTAATTTCAGACAGTTATGTTTGAGATTCAGTTAAAAGTTGAAGTTTTTTTACTCTTAATCTTCTAAAACTTCTAAAACATGGACTTGTTTTATCTCCATGTTTAAATAAATTATTTGAAAATAATGTTTAGAATTAAAATATGAATGAAATTAACATGTAGCTATTTATCCTTATATCTATGATTAATTTTTATGGGAGTTTTCAGCATGATTGATAGACTTATTTCTAATAAGTATGAGAAATTGTCTCCAATTTAAAAAAACTTCATCATAATATTTTCATTGTTAAATTATATTTTAGTTATTATAACTATGATACTTATTAAATTTCTGGTCTTCATTTTACCTGGCCAAGTAGGGCCTCCGTATTCTTGTGCCATTCTCTGTCTTTCAGATTGAATTTGTTCAACACTAGTCTCCCACAAGACTTAATAGATGTTTGAGAGATCTTTGATTAAATTTGGGAAACTCAGTAATATAATCCTTTTTGTGAAGTTTATGGTACATATTTTTTTGAAAATGTCCCAAGGATTCCTATAATAGAGAAATTTGTTTAACTGTATTTAACCTAGCCTTGTCTTTCTCTGTGGGACCTCCCTTGTATTTCAAGGGATACTTAGATTCTGAGGAATAGATTTTGGGAAGCACTGCATTATATTAAGGCGATTTAAGGACTATTTCTACTTTGTCACATTAACATTTACATTTTTGGTATGTTGAGGGAGTATGAGAATACTAAAATATATGTTTCAATTTCCTATTGTTTTATACATTTTATTATTCCTCCTAAAAAAAATTAACATCAGCTGAAACATTGTATTAGTATTTTTTTAAAAATTATTCTTAATGACTTTTTAGGTAATTGGAACCTTTTCTTTTACACTAATTAGAGAAGTCTATATTAAAACCAGTCTTTCTGAATGTTATAATCAAAGAAATCTTGAATCTGTATATTGCCAGGCACATTTGAGAATGTATAATAGAGAGATAGTCTAGAATACATAATACATGATGATACATAAAAATTAGATACATAGTTTTTATTGGTTAATTGTGAAAGCCTGTTTCACAAACTAAAAATGATAGCACCTCATATGTTTGAAGGTAAGAGGGGAGGTGCTTTTCATTTTTAACAGTAAAATTTTAGACACTATATTTTAAGGGTATCTTTTGTCATTTAACATATTTATTGAATTGCCTACTCTTGACAGGCACTGTTCTAGGTCATTTTCTATTAGGATACTTTTATTCTATTATTGGGTAAGTATATTTAAGTATTCAAAAGCCTGGAATTGATTTAGCTATGTAGTTTCATATAGTGCCCTAGCCAAGCACAATGGAAAAACTTTGTCCCCCAACTTATGCCAGCCGAAGCTGGTATGGATCCTCAACTTCTACCCTCATCAATTTATAACAAAGTTCTCCAACTCGGTACCAGGGTGACATCAGAGAAGACTGAGTAGCTAGCCAGAAGTTTCATCTTTGCTGGGCAGTAAGGAACCTTCCCACTGCCATTCTCCTGTTCCCCTGGTTCACTGTCACTAGAGACCACATGGAGAGCCTGCCTTTAACTCCTGTCTGACTGTAAGAAAGTGCTCCTTTCCCTCCTCACCGGATTGATACCTCATGGAGAAGAATCAGAATTTTTATAGTAAGAAACTTAGTCCCCTCACAGCCAAGGTGATACCAGAGAGGAATTCTATTAGGATAATGGATAGAATTGGAATGTGGACGACAAAAACACTTTCTCAATAGTTTTCTGAGTTTGATAACTAATAATATTCCTGTTCTTTAAAAATCACATTGAAGTATTAAGAGGAAAAGCATGATGTTTGAACCTACTCTCAAATGGTCTTGAAAAATAATGTATATGTGGGTGGGATGATCAAGCAAAGGTAGCAAAATGTTAAAGCCTATTGAGTCTGAGTAAATAGTTCCTAGGAATTTTCTGTTCTTTAAACTTTTCTCTGAATTTTTTTTAAAAAAAGAAAAAGATAAGCTTTTGGAATAAACTATAAGGCAGAGAACAATACATATAATATACATATACCTTAGCCAATACACACAATACATACCTTAGTTTAGTACAGTAGAATTTGAGTGAGATAATTTTTCACTCTTCCTCCACCCTTTTTCCCCTTACCCCTGTTCTGATTTTTTTTTTTTTTTTTGATATTGTTTTACCAATTCAAATGACCTCTATTTGGAAAACAACAAATTTGATGTCATTTACGTTAAACTATGTTTGTGATTCTCTAAAAGCTTCTTTTACTCTGTGGTTTTTATAAAATTTGCTTTTTTATGTTAAAATATGTTTTAGAGAAAAAAAATTATTTGCTAAATGTGTTCTTTCTTAGGACTTCCAGTAAAATGCTTGGCCATATTTCAGAACCCCCCAACTAATTGGTCCCCTCACCTGTGGTCTTCCTTGTGTTTTTGAGAACAACTAGAAGATAAATGAAATTAGAAGCATTTTGAATATCTTTTCATAGCTTTGATCTTATTCCAAAATGAGCTAGATCAAACAATATGTGGATAGTAGTTTATAAGCTCTGCCAGCTATTTTAAAATAAGTTCATTTTGCTAGATCAAGTTCCTTTATCTGTCCTTTGAAGAACACCAAATATTTGAAAACACTTCATCTTAATTATTTTTTCTTTATGTGTAATAAATACGTATTGTCAGTAGTTCTGACATCAAATGAAATTTGAGATTATGCAATCTTATGTGTTGTATTAACTAAAATTCATTTTTTGATTGTGAAAATTTATTGATTAAAAATTAATATAATGCCCACAAATTCTTCAGTATTCATACTGTTTCTTGCTTCTATCTTAAGGCTGTATGGAGAAAAGAGAACCACCTGGTACACTAAGTGAACAACAGTCCAGGAGCTCTCATACACTTTGAAATGGAGCAGTATCTGACATGCAGTGAGAAGATTGCACAATGGTTTTCAACCTTCACACTAGTGCAGTGGTGGATTACTGATTGACTCAAAATATAGTGATTCAGATTATTATTAGACTTTTAAATGTATGGGTAGTGTCAAATTTTCAGAGTTCTGTGTTATTTACTGTACAGTTTAAAAATGTCTCAGAATATTGAAATGATACATATAACTGCTTTTCTAAGAAGTATGGAATTACTTTTTTTGTTGTTAATCCTCATCCGAGGATATTTTTTCCATTGATTTTTTAGAGAGTGGATGGAAGGGAGGGAGGGAGAGAGAGAGACATTCATTGATGTGAGAGACATCAATTGGTTTCCTTCTCCGTGTGCCCCCAAACAGGGCAGAGATCAAAACTACAACCCTTTGCTACTCAGTCTGGTATCCTAATCAATGAGCCCACAGGCCAGAGCTGGTTTGCTTTTTAATTTAAAGACTGAGGATTTTTATTAGTTTATTTAGGCAAATACCACAATATAAAGTCAATAACAGTTAGGTAGAAATGACTAACGGATGTACTGTGCTAGGAAATGCAGATCTCATACAGAATGAAATAAGAATTTATATTATTGCTCAATTTTTATAATGATAATATTTTGTTTTTTCCTTTTTGCATTTTGAGTTTCTAATTTTCTATTCATTCTATTTATAATTGTTTTGGGTCTTGCTTTTTTTTTTTTTTTGCACTTTTTATATTCAGGATTTTGTCGTTAGTATTATAATATCATTAAGTAATTATGAAATGATTTTTTTTCTAATTAGGAAGAAGCATTGCATGCATTTATTCAGCCAGAGATCCTGGATGGCCCAAATCAATATTTTTGTGAACGTTGTAAGAAGAAGTGTGATGCACGAAAGGTAGATGCCATGTAGAAATTAATACTTACTTACCTGAGATAACAGTCAGTATTTAATATGTCCTCTTTCTTTTTAGGGTCTTCGGTTTTTGCATTTCCCTTATCTGCTGACCTTACAATTGAAAAGATTTGATTTTGATTATACAACCATGCACAGGATTAAATTGAATGATCGGATGACATTTCCTGAAGAGCTGGATATGAGTACATTTATTGATGTTGAAGATGAGGTAAGTATTATATTTTCTTATTATGTTTTTCATTAATCTATTTGGTTAGTCATGTTTAAAAGAGCTATTTGGAATAACTGATGTTTATACTATTTTCTTGATGGAAGCCTTTCCTTTTTTTCTAATGCCAAGTCTATTAAAAAAAAAACAAAAAAAAAAAACCCAAACTTTGTGTAAGCTTTTCCTGTCCACCATAATTATATTTCAAATAGTCTTGCTTGATCAAAGTAACTTATAATATCATTTGAAAACACAAAAAGACCTAAAACTCTGAAATTATTTAATTGGAGAGTTAATCTTAGTTTCATAACTTTCTTAGTTATTGAAACAAAACAATCTAGAGGTGGGCTGCACTTGTGGTATATAAAAAATACAAAACAAGTATATATGAATGAATAAACAAGCAAACTAAGGATGGCCTTAATTTCTTATTTGTCTTAGTGTCTTTTTCAGAGTTAAAGGTTTTGGGTTATTCTAATTTAAGGATTGCTTGCTCTTAAATTGGCTAGATTAGGAAGCTAGAAAAGGAAGTCATTTTGTCTCTTTTCCTTTTCTGATTAGTTTTTTTAAATTAAAACTTTATTTAAATCATTTGAGAATGGGACTTTGAACTATATAGGTTAAAGCTTTTCAATTTCTTCCATTCACTGTCCCCGAATTCTTTTATTCCTTTATCTTATCCAGTAAGAGATTCATGATATCCCACTATATTCTTTTTTTTTTAATTCATCTTTTGTTTTTTCCAAATAACATCATTTTATTAAAAAATTTTATTAATTTGCGAGAGAAACATCGATTTGTTATTCCACTCATTCATGCATACATCGGTTGATTCTTGTATGTGCCCCAACCAGGTATCTAACCCACAACCAGGCATATTGTGATGGTCCTCCAGCCAACTGATTTATTCAGCCAGGGCTGTCCAACTATATTTTTTTGGAAACTCTTAATATTTCATTATGAGGAATATTTATAATAATTTAACATAGTTGTAAGAGTGATAAATCTTTATTATTCTCAAAACTGTCATGAAGCATTTTTTGTCTGATTGGCACTGATTATTATAATTATAAAAATACCTTTTCCCAGAAGCTAATAAATAATTATAAACATTCATCAAATTATTTTTAGTGCTGTTAAAAGAGCAACTTTTGTAAGCCTCACTTTGCTTGTCTATAAAATAAGACTAATAAGTGAGAAGAAAGTGCCTTTGATAAAGTAGATGTTCATTCATTGATACCTATGGCCAGATAACATTTTAAAAGATTCAATTTAAAATAATATCTCAAACACTTGTGCGTAAGCCAGGAAATCTACTCCAAGTGTATCAAAATTTCAAAGGAGGTGTAATCATTGTAGGATTCCTACTCAGATCATTATTACTTTGGTCTTCTGTATGTTCCTAATGTATTTCCTAAAAGGGAATTTTTTCCCCAAAGGAAGAAAACCTATATATAAAGTTTGACAGGAACTTTTAGGGAATTATAAGTCCATTTTTTGGGAAATGAAAAAAAATGTTCTCACTTAGGTAAAGGAGTTTCAGGAATGATCTCTTTTGACTTAGTATAGAGTTCTGATATTGGTTCTCATCTCCATTTTTCCTTGAACCCACTAAAGGGATGAAGACTATGTTAGATGCAGTTCCTACAGCAAAGTTCTTGGCAAAATTGGTGCTTATTTTATATTAGAGCCCTGATGCACAAAACTCATGCAAGAGTAGGCCTTTCTTTCCCTGGCTGCCAGCAGTAGCTTCCCTCTGGCCGCCGCCAGGCACCCGGGAGCTGGGCTTCCCTTGCAGCCCAGGCTTCATCCCGAAGGTCGTCTGGTCTAATTAACGTATTACACTTTTATTATTATAGGTTGCTTGGTTAATTCAAGAACTTGTAAAATATACCTTAGAGAAGAATTCTTAAATTATTTAAATAAAATATTTTTAGGTATGTTATAAAATATTAAAGGAAAAGTAAAAATTGAGGATTTCTAAGATATAGATTTCTTCAATTTCAATATGCATGAAAGGGATTTAAAAATCATAAAAGCAGGGAATAGTATGATTTGCTCTTGTTACATTTCCACCTCCTATATACTAAAGTATAAAATTCTTGAGGATAGAAAACAATGTCTGGTTTTTCTTTTTAAATGTCTAGTGCAGTGGTCGGTAAACTCGTGAGCCACATGCCTCAAATAGATTGAGGATGTTTTTAGCCAAGGCAGCTTAGGAGTACTCTAAGTTAATAACAATGTACTTACCTATATAGTTTAAGTTTAAAAAATTGGGCTCTCAAAAGAAATTTCAGTCGTTGTACTGTTGATATTTGGCTCTGTTGACTAATGAGTTTGCCGACCACTGGTCTAGTACAATACCTAGCACAATGATAAACTGAATGGAACTTTCTGTTCAATAAAAGATATGACGTCCTTTGGGAATTTGAAAACTGAAGAAGCTCTATTTGGAGTTTAGGTTCTCTGCTTTTATTGATTTTGGTGAAAAATAATTTTTTATTGTTACTTTGCAACTATAAACATAAAAGGAGTTTACTAGAATTCTGAATTACTAATTTGTTGGATTAGAATTTTAAGGACATTAATATAAATGCTTTTAAAATACACTTTTTTGTTCATTTTATTTTTTGACTCACTTTTTAATGAAAAACTAAATTTACTTGAAGTAAAATAAGTATTTATTAACAGTATATTAAATTATGTGAAAAGCAGAATGTAGATAAAAAGTTTTACTTGACTATATACTTTTCCTTTATTTAATTTGCAATTGTAAAATAATTATGTTTTATTAAGAAATCTCCTCAGACTGAAAGTTGCACTGACAGTGGAGCAGAAAACGAAGGCAGTTGTCACAGTGATCAAATGAGCAATGATTTCTCCAATGATGATGGTGTTGATGAAGGGATCTGCCTTGAAAGCAATAGTGGAACTGAAAAGATTTCAAAACCTGGTCTTGAAAAGGTGCCTTTTATAGTTTGCGGTTTTTAGTTGAAAGAGAGAATAATATAATCTCTGAGGTGATATATACTATGTGTGTGTGTAATATATATATATGTGTGTGTGTGTGTGTGTGTGTGTGTGTGTAGTATATATATTATATTACACACACACACACACACACATATATATATATAGCTGTGACTGAGAAAGTTCTCTTTAAAAAAAAAGTTTTAATTTTTGAAAATTAAGACTTTTTAAGGTGTTTTTTTTATGCATTCATGTGGTTATAGTTAAATTTATGAAAAACTTAGAGTGGGAGCATTGATTTCTGGGAGGCTCAACTGTGATTGTGTTAATAAGGTGGGTGATGCTGTGGAAAGGGTCCTAGTAATCAGGACTTGTGCCTAGAAAGTTGCAGCAAGCCTCTACATCTTTCATTTTAAGAATTTTCTCATATAGCGAAATGAAAACATTAGATCTTTTGATTTTTAAAATTTGGGCTGTGGAACCCTTGATCCAACAGTAATAGAACCGATCTCTTTAAGGTGGGGGAAAGATAAAGCCCTCAGTCTTCTTCCTCTTCCCACCTCCATCTCCATGACAGCCCTTAAGGTACTTCAAAAGTATTATAGTTCCATGGATTATAATTTTAAAATTGAAAAGGTGGATAATCTCTAGGATAGAATATTTTTTGTCACTGTATAGGTGATTTTTACTCAAACATTTCTTTTACATTCATATAATCTGCTTTATTGAGAATTACAGATCATATATCTTAGGCATGGTGTGAATATGAATCACTGGCATGAAGACTGATTCATTTGCAGTCTTAGAGTCATATATATAGTTTCACTTGCATAAATTTATATATATATATATATATATATATATATATATATATATTCTCACCACTATTAACCTTTACCATTTATTTATTTATTTATTTATTTATTTATTAAATATATTTTATTGATTTCATACAGAGAGGAAGGGAGAGAGATAGAGTTAGAAATATCGATGAGAGAGAGTCATCCATCAGCTGCCTCTTGCACACCCCCTACTGGGGATATGCCCACAACAAGGTACAGGCCCTTGACCGGAATCGAACCCGGGACCCTTCAGTCCCCAAGCCGACACTCTATCCATTGAGCCAAACCGGTCCCGGCAACCTTTACCTTTTAAACTTACCTATTTCTTTCAGGACAGATAGATGACACATTATAATGTAGAGGACACATTATAATTTAGTTCAAAGAACATTTACATTCAAAAAAGGGTTGGCACACTGTGGCTTTAGAGCAAAAATCCTGTTCTTGTTTTTCTGCATAGACAATTATGTCTTCCTTTTTTCTCCCCCTTATTAAAACAGGATTTGCATTACAATGTTGCATAGGAGTGGTGGCAAATGGCATGCTAGCCTTGTTCCTAGTCACACAAGGAACATGTTCAATCTCTCATATTTAATTATGGTGTTAGCTAGAGGTGATTTGTAGATATTCTTTATCAATTTAAAGATGTTCCCATCTTCCTGTTTATTGAGAGTTTTTATCATGAGGGGTATTGGATTTTATCAAATGCTAATTCTGGGTCAGTTGATATGATCATGTAATTTCCCTTCTTTAATGTGGAGTACATAGATCAGTGAATTTCAAACGGTGTGCTGCAAGAATTTCCAAAACATGCGATACCGGACTAGTCAGGGGCTTTCACCTCTTTTCCCTTAGATTGTTAAATAAAAACAGCCAACAAACAATAGTCTTCCAGTATAAATGGAATCAACATCACACTTTTTTTGGTCAGATTGGCAAGAAATATGTTTTTGGTGTGCCACAGAATTTTAGTAATTAGTTTATGTCATGAGATGGAAAAGATTGAAAATTGCTGGCGTAGATTAATTTTCTAATGTTGAACAGCTTTGCATACCTTAAACTATCAAATCAGTAAACATTGTATCACAGATATTACATAAATACATTACATGTTTCAAATCATTACATCCTTTAGCTCCTCTATGAAGGAAATTGATTCTTACTTGAATAAAAAAGTTATTTGAAATTTCTTGATCTTGACTATGCATATCAGGATAGTGTTATATTTTGGCACTTGCTTCTAAAATTTCAGATTGTTATTTTCTTCTTTATATAAATGAATTATATTTCTATATGCATAGTTTCAGAGATTGTAGTATAATTAAAATGTGAAGGAATATACTTAGTGAAGCTTGTGGTGTATAAAATTATAAGGTTGAGTTGCCATTTTAATTATCTTAGAGGAACATGAACCTGCAACAAACATATGACAACTAACATGTTACTTCACTAGTGTTGATAGAGAATAGGAAATATACAAATAAATGGTTTTCCTCTTTTTGAGTTACCTTTATTTTTTCCTTTTAGAATTCCTTGATCTATGAGCTCTTCTCTGTTATGGTTCATTCAGGGAGTGCTGCTGGTGGTCACTATTATGCTTGTATAAAGTCATTCAGTGATGATCAGTGGTACAGCTTCAATGATCAACATGTTAGCAGGGTAAGGAGGGGTTTTTTGAGATTATTATTCTAAAAGATGAGCAGGAATGTTTCTATCAATCACTGGGTTTATTGAAATGGGAGACTGGATGTGTACAGTGAAGCATTTTAAGACACATACCAAATCAATCTTTTGTTTTTGCTCTCAGTAAATTTCCCGCTTTGTTAATTGTTGTTATTTCTTGGTTTTGTTTTCTTTGGGGCTTGCTGAGTGTTTCCAGAGATAAGATTCCCAATTTTCCTCTTATCATGAGCCTTCATGTGGGCTGTTTGAGAGCTCTAGAACTAAGCGGTCACTAGCAGCTGCTGATTATGATTAAACTTTGTGAATTGGTATGTGTGGTCCATTTAACTCGGAGGTTAAAAATTTACATATTGGGTTACATATTGCCGTAAATGTAATGGTGTTAAAAATTTTACCAAAAAGTAAATAATGTAACAACTTTTTAGATAACACAAGAGGACATTAAGAAAACACATGGTGGATCTTCAGGAAGCAGAGGGTATTATTCCAGTGCTTTTGCAAGGTAAATAATTTTGTAATTTTTAGTGTCTATAAATTAACACAACTTCTCAATATTTTTCACCATTTAGGAAGTTTAACCCAGTGGTGGGCCAAATCCACTCTATTTCCAGTTTTTGGAAATAAAGTTTTATTGAAACATCACCATACTAATTTGCTTAAATATTATATGTTGATCTTATCCCACTACCACAGCAGAATTAGGTAACTGCGACATACATCATATTTTACTACTTGGCCCTTTTCAGAAGAAGTTTGCTAACTCCTGACTTAATTATAAAAATCATCTAGGATACAGATTTTTTTTTTTTTTGAAGACTTTACTATGTTACCAAGAGGAGATATGGAATCTACTCATAAATGTATCAGTAAAAGCAAAGTAGATTTTTTTTTCTAGAATGTTTTAAATTTGAACCTATTCGAGAACAGTTTCATGATTTCTAATTGTTTGAAACAACAAAAAGTATTTTAAATAAATATTTGATGCTAAGAGATGGAGTCTTTACAATCTACTTTTTGTTCCTATTAATCTTTTTTGTTTTTCTACTAGCTCCACAAATGCATATATGCTGATATATAGACTGAAGGATCCAACAAGAAATGCAAGTATGTTAACATACATTAAATTTGATTTTAATCTGTAGTATTATTTGATATTAATCTGTAGTATAAACTAATTTCTTAAGCAAGTTTTTTTAAAACCCAGATGACCATTTTTAACTGATAGGATAATTAAGTTATTTTTATCCATGGAAGAATTAATTATAAAAACTATTATGAGATAATACCAACTGGTAAAAACATTTGGGAAAACAATGAACTGGTGTTATTTTTTACTACATTATGGGGCAAAATTTACTCTGCATGTAATAAACCAGGTATTTATTTGCAGTAAACTTGTATTAGATGTAGTTTTGTTTAGTGATAATAACCTCCAGACATATGTAGCAGTCATAACTCAGCAGCTGCATGTCCCAGACGAAGTTATTTATCTTTTCTAAGTCTTATTTTCCACATATGTAGAATGGGAATAATTGTATTTTATAAGTTGTATAAAAATTAAATGAGATAATATATTTTAAGCATTTAACATCATGTCTGGTACATAGTGAAAATTCAAATTTAGCTATTTTTTTCTTTTATAATTTTTAGGAGTATTTCGTATCATATGCTTTGCATGGGGACCATAAATGAAGTAAACTTCTCACTTACCATTCTAGAAAGATTCTTAAAAAGTAGTGTTAAATGTCTTTGCTATAATATTTGCTTAAAAAGCAAGTAAAGTTTTGAGTCTAGTGTGCCTCCTTTATATTTTAATTTTATTAAGAATTCCCCCCAAGCATGTGAGGTTATCTTTTTTTTTCTTTTTTGTAATTATTACTTTGAAAAATTGCAGTTCCTGATTTTTCTTGCTAACTTTTACTGACTAAAGCATTAAGCAAATAGGTAGAGTTATGTGTATGTATATGAACATAGTTATATACACAGATGATATGTTTGCTTATATTCTTTTCATAATTAATATAGTATATTCACTCTTCTCGATTTTAACATTTTTCTTTAGATACTTCCATGCCATGAGTAAATCTATTTTCAGCAGTATAATGTTTTGTTTGTATTTTTAACCCTCATTAAATTCTGAATTCATTTGGTGCAAGACTTAGGATTTATTCATCTTTTCACCAACAGTATATTCCAGGGTCTATCATATAGTGGCTTTTCAATAATTTACTGTAGGATTAATGAAAAGAAAGAAAATTATAATAAAAATCATTTCAGATAAAATATTTCAGAGTAGAAGTAATCACTCAATATAACCCAAAAAGTAACTGTGCAGTCTACCTGGAGGCAGAGCCAGGATTGTGGTTCATGTGTCTCTTTAGCACCCAGCATTCCAGATATTTTCATTAGAGCAATAAATAACAGCTTTCCTTTATTCACTTCTGGGCTCTAGGTTTGTTATGAAGCACCAGGGGGCGCTATATGTATGACATGGAATATTTTTAGAATTAGAGCTCATTTCTAAGAGCAGTAGATTTTTGCCTTCCATAGAGGCATGTTTTTTTAAAATATAAATTGTTCTAATTTATTGCTTAATAATCATTGGCTTTGTTAAATAGTGTCATAGTCTCAATGCCACTTTTAATACTTTGAGTTACATATGAAATTCTTTGATTAGAAGGCAGCTAAAAGACTGCTTTGAGAACAAAGGAAAGATAATTGTATTAGGAAATAATATACAAATAAATAATATTTGTAGTAATAGAAGCAGCAACAGCATTTATTACATTTTATTGTATCCTGAGTAATAATTGTGTGCTAGCAATGTGCTGAAGTAACAAAGGTCTGGAGAAGTGCTTACTCAGGGTCACATAATTTATGATGATAATACAATTTAAAGTCAGAAATAATTTTATTTCCAATTTTTAGAGAAGCTTTTTTATTTTAAAAGTCTTAATCTATATAGAGTTGTCCTGGAACCAAATGCTATTATGTATAAATATATGACTTTTTAAAATATGAGACCTAACCATGTTTTATTATTAACTACCTCTTTACCCTTGTCTGGAAGAAGCTCATGTTTCAAGTTGAGAGATTCATGTAATTGAGATACATTTTGATGAGAGCAATAGTAGAATTATATACAATGGGAAACTAGTAGAACAAAATTAAATAAAGAAAGCTCAATTTCAGTGGCACTGTCTTACCCTGTTTTCATTATTAATAGAATTTCTAGAAGTAGATGAATATCCAGAACATATTAAAAATTTGGTGCAGAGGGAGAGAGATTTGGAAGAACAAGAAAAGAGGCAACGAGAAATCGAGCGTAACACATGCAAGGTTAGATTTTATAATTTTATTTTTAATTAAAAAGTGCTATTGCAGTTTGCTTAACTGCAATTCTCATAGCTAACTAATAGGGTTGATTCTGTAGACAGTTATGCTATCGTGATCATTAAGTAGTAAAAACAACCATATTACTAAAATAAGATAAGATTTTATGTTATGCACTAAAAACAATAACTTGTTATAATACTCAATGCTGGCGAGGTTACAATAAGATGAGCATTGTCACATTCTACTACAAGAAGAATGAATTTGTAAAAAACTTTTCTGCATAGATATTGAGTAGAATTTATCAAGAGTCTTTCTTTTATGGCTAACAAAGAAACATATTCTTTTTTAAAAAATATTTTATTTATTTTTTACAAAAAGGAAGGGAGAGGGATAGAGAGCTAGAAACATCGATGAGAGAGAAACATCGACTAGCTTCCTCCTGCACACCACCCACTGGGGATGTGCCCGCAACCAATGTACATTCCTGGGAGCTTTCAATCCGCAGACCAATGCTCTTCTACTGAGCCAAACCGGTTTTGGTGAATTTATCAAGAGTCTTAATGCAAATTCATATTATTTTATATATAATTCTCTTAAGGAAATATTACCTAATAAGGTAATTATAGATACCGTAGAATTGTGACCTCAAAGACATTGATCACAGTATTTTTAAAACTAGGGAAAAATTGGAAACAACCTGAATGTATATTAGTAAGAGAATAATTATGTATAATATAATATATGCTTAAGAAGCATACACTTGTTAAAATTAATGTCTTTCAAATTTTAATAACATTAAATATAATCACTATCAGTTATTAAGTGAGAAAAAGAGAAACCAGAGAGAATGATCCCAATGCATGTGTTTTGTTTTTTTAAATTATAGGGTTTTTTTTTACTATTAGGAAAAAAAATGCTATCTGTAAGAGAATTAAGCTTAGACTCATGACCTGCTGAGTTATGATGGTATTTTATAATTCCTAGATAAAACTATTCTGTTTGCATCCTGTGAAACAAGTCATGATGGAAAATAAATTGGAGGTTCATAAGGATAAGACATTAATGGAAGCAGTAGAAATAGCTTACAAGGTAAGTGTAATTGTACTGTTAGCATTTAATCATTGACATCTTACATAATAGTATTAACTATTATCTTTATATTTATATTTTCTAAAGTTTTTATTATAGTCCATAGTAGTATAAGCACTTGCAATCACACTGATAGTCCATTTAAATTTTTAAAACAGTTGGTTTTGAGAAAGTTTCACAAAAATATTTATTTATTCATTACATGATTTTTAGTCCATCTAGAGTTTATAATGCTAACTTTTTTAAACAAAAAAATTATCTGAGGGATAAAGAAATGTGATTATTTAAAAACTAGAGGCTCAGTGCACAAAATTCGTGTACTTGGGGGAGAGTCCCTCAGCCCAGCCTCTCACTATCTGGGAATCCTTGGGGGATGACCGACTGACAGATATCCCTAGCACTACTGTGGTGGCAAGAGATTCTCTTGCCACCGCCACTACTCTTGCCAGCCATGAGCCAATTTCCGGCTGAACAGCACTCCCCATGTGGGATAGGCCTGAAACTGGCTCTTTGACATCCCCCAGGGGTCCCAGATGGCAATAGGATGCAGGCCAGGCCAAGGGACCCCACCAGTGCATAATCAGGGCTAGAGAGAAATGTGGGCGATTAGCCAGCCAAGGAGGGACCTCAGGAGGGCTCCAGGAAATGTCTGGCCCATCTCGCTCAGTCCCAATCAGCTGGACCCCAGCAGCAAGCCAATCTACCAGTTGGAGCATCTTCCCCTAGTGGTCAGTGCACATTATAGCAATTGGTCAACCAGTCAATTGTCTGCCTGCCCAGGTGGTCAGTGCATGTCATAGTGCGTGGTTGAGCAACCTTAGCATGTCAGTAGCATATTAGCTTTGATTGGTTGAATGGCCGACTGGTCAACCAGACACTTAGCATATTAGGCTTTTATTATATAGGACTAGAGACCCGATGCACGAATTCATGCAACCAGCGGGGCCCGTTGGCCTGACCTGTGGAATCGGGCCGAAACCGGCTCTCTGACATCTTCCAAGGGGTTCTGGATTGCAAGAGGGTGCGGTCCCAGGCTGAGGGACCCACCAGTGCATGATCAGGGCCGGGGAGAGATGCAGGAGGTTGGCCATTCAGGAAGGGACCATGAGAGGGCTCCAGGGCATGTCCAGTCCATCTAGCTCAGTCCCAACCTGTTGGACCCCAGCAGCAAGCTAACCTACCGTTTTCAACCCGATCCCACAGGTCAGGCCAAGGGGCCCCGATAGTACATGAATTCGTGCATCGGGTCTCTAGTCCTATATAATAAAAGCCTAATATGCTAAGTGTCTGGTCGACCAGTCGGCCATTCAACCAATCAAAGCTAATATGCTACTGACATGCTAAGGTTGCTCAACCACGCACTATGACATGCACTGACCACCAGAGCAGGCAGACAGTTGACTGGTTGACCAATTGCTATGATGTGCACTGACCACTAGGGGAAGATGCTCCAACTGGTAGATTGGCTTGCTGCTGGGGTCCAGCTGATTGGGACTGAGCGAGATGGGCCAGACATGTCCTGGAGCCCTCCTGAGGTCCCTCCTTGGCTGGCTAATCGCCCACATCTCTCTCTAGCCCTGATTATGCACTGGTGGGGTCCCTTGGCCTGGCCTGCATCCTATTGCCATCTGGTCAGAACATCTGCCCCCTGGTGGTTATTGCATGTCATAGCGAGCAGTTGAGCAGCCTTAACATATCATTAGTATATTACGCTTTGATTGATTGAACAACGGACCAGTTGACCAGAAATTTAGCATATTAGGCTTTTATTATTTATGACACTTTTTAACTTTTCTTTAACTTTGATTTCATTGAGCTTTGATACAAATCATAAACATATGGATTTTATTGTTTGTTAGGACCTATTAAGAGATTTTGTAAAAGAGAGCTCTAAATATGAGTATAATTACACATCAGACTAAAATATTGTATATTTTTTCTTTTTTGGGGGGGTTCTTTTCTTTTAGATGATGGATTTGGAAGAGGTAATACCTGTGGATTGTTGTCGCCTTGTTAAATATGATGAGTTTCATGATTATCTTGAAAGATCATATGAAGGAGAAGAAGATACACCAATGGGACTTCTACTAGGTGGAGTTAAGTCAACATATATGTTTGATCTGCTCTTGGAGACAAGAAAACCTGATCAAGTTTTTCAATCTTATAAACCTGGGGGTAAGGAATTTTGCAGTATTTTGCATAGTACTGGACTTAAATTTTTCATAAAATTTTTGTTTATAGAAATTTAATTTTTTATATTTTTAAAATATTTTATATGTTCTTAAAATAAATGAGATGTTAGGAAGTAGTCATCATAAAGCTAGGAATTAAATTATTGATTGCTTTCAAGAAGATATATACAAAATTAAAAAACAAAATAAAATAAAACTTCTGGCTTACTGTGTCCAATGGGATTTTTATTGATTTCAGAGCAGAAGGAAGAGGGAGAGAGAGATAAAAACATCAATGATGAGAAAGAATCATTCATTGGCTGCCTCCTATATGCCCCCCACTGGGAATCAAGCCAGCAATCTGAGCATGTACCCTGACCAGAAAGTGAACCTAGACTTCTATAGGTTGGCGCTCAACCCCTGAACCGTACCAGCCAGGCACTGTCAACATTTTTTATTTTTCTCCATCCTCGTCATTTCAGCTTTTTCTGTTTTTTTTATTAAATCTATCCCATTTATCAGTATATGAGGGGTGTTTTTTTTCTTTGAGACTGACCTAGAAAGCAAAATACCATATCCCTAAGTTGTCCCTAAAGACAGTTACCTATTCAAAATTTTCTAGTCATCATTATGTATAAACTATAATAAATAAGGCAAAATCAAAATGTTTAAAAAACTTTTACCAATTTTTTATTGTTATTATCTTGACCCTAATTCCCTTGGATTGGTTGTTAATCAGAAATCAGGTTTATGTTCTCTACTTTTATTCCTAAAAGTTAAATTTACAAAACTACTTCTACCCTTTCAAATTCTGTTCCTCTATATATCCTATACAATTCCCTTTATTTTAATGAAGACTCTTCTTTCCAAAGTAAAATACATGAAGTATTCTTTCAAGGGCTCCTTCAGCCAGACTCTGCCCATTCTGTAAAGAGTCCTTTTGGAGCATTTTCTTGCTGATTATTTTTGAGTTAGATAGCAAAAATTATTATCAAGAAATAACAGGAGTCAGCAGTAACTCTGCCCAATCTGTAAAGAGTCCTTTTGGAGCATTTTCTTGCTGATTATTTTTGAGTTAGATAGCAAAAATTATTATCAAGGAATAACAGGAGTCAGCAGTAAAACCATTTTTTTTAAAAAAAAAAGAACTCTAAATGTAAGTGTGAATTATAAAACTTACAGCTAATCACCTTTTTAAAAAAAATTTTTATTTTTTATTTTAGAGAGATAGAAACATCAATGAGAGAGGAACATCATTGATCAGTTGCCTCTTGCATGACCCCCAAATGGGGATCAAGCATGTGCCCTGACTAGGAATCGAATTTGTGACCTCTTGGTTCCTGGGTTGATACTCAACCTCTGAGCCACATTGGTCGGGCTAGCTAATTGCCTTTATCTATAGACTAGAGGGTGTGCGAGGGTGTGATGGTCAATTTGCATATTACCTCTTTATTATCTATACTAATGAAAGGGTAATATACTAATTAGACTGGGAAACCTTTCAGGAGACCTTCCTGACATCCTCTGGACAAAGGCAGGGCTGAGGCAGAGGCAGTTAGGGACGATCAGACCAGGAGGGGAGGGCATTTGGAAGGAGAAGGCCGACAGTGTGGGGCATTTGGAGGCGATGGGACGATCAGGCAGGCAGGCGAGCAGTTAGGAACTAGTGGTCCCAGATTGCGGGTGATATCCCACTACCAGTTTAGGGGTTGGGCCTACACCAACAGTCGAACATCCCCCAAGGGGTCCCAGATTAGAGAGGATTCAGGTCTGCAGGCCGGGTTAAAGGACAACCCCTCCTCCCCTGCACAAATTTCGTGCACCAGACCATTAGTATAGGATATAAAAGCCTAAGTAACCAAACGATCAGTTGTTATGATGTACACTGACCACCAGGCGCAGACACTTAAAGCAGGAGCTGCCTTCTATTGATCAGTGCGCACCCACAGCCAACCTTCAGTGGCCCTCCTCCAAGTAGGCCATGGCCCTGATTGGCCCCGATCACTGCCCAGTGTGAGGGACCTCACCCATGGGTGAATTCGTGCACTGGGCCTCTTAATTCATTAATAATCATGACTTCAGAATATTTTATCAGATTTATATTAGCAACATGAGAAAACATTGAGGATTGACATAAACTATAAGAGATTAAATCACTTAAGCTAGTGAATAACTATCTTAAATGTACTATTGGAAGATCATTTATTTTTCTGATTATTAAAAGTTTAGTTACATGCGATCTCCTGAAAACAGAAGCAGAGAAGATGGGATTAAATTGTAATATGAAGAATTTCTGTAGGACTTTTTATAGGATATAGAAAATACTATTTGATTATAAACAGGGTCTTGAATGGTTTAACGAAGGTTGTTCAAAAGCAAGTAGGGCGGCTACATCCCTTTTTTGTTTTTCATTTTCTAGTTATTTATATTTATTTAGTGTTGTGGTTTGGGACTGTGTTTTAGAATTTTGGATATATACTTTAATATACTTAATAAATTTGATAGTGTTATGTTTTATAAGGAAACAAAGCATGTATTTTTAAAAACCACATTTTTACTTTTGTCATTTTTTTTAAAAAGACATCTAGAACTTTTATTAGGCTCTTTTTCATATCTTTTTGTGTTTGCTTGTAAAGTGACAAATTGTGAAAGAAGTTTTAACATGTGTTATACATGTATAATATATATCTACCATTTTGATAACTAGAACAAATGTTATCTTTACCATTCATTAGAAACATATTAAAAATTCATTATTCATGTGAAATACATTTTAAAAAATAACCTTTAGTTATATCTTTATTTTTTTCAAATGTGACAGAAGTGATGGTGAAAGTTCATGTTGTTGATCTAAAGGCAGAATCTGTAGCTGCACCTATCACTGTTCGTGCTTACTTAAGTCAAACAGTTACAGAGTTCAAACAACTTATTTCAAAGGTAAGTTTTAAAATTGATTAGTGACTATTTTTGAGTGCCTGCTCTGCACAGAGCACTTTGTGATGTAGTTATGAGTAAGATATAGGAATCGGTACTTACTTTAAGGAGCCAGTATTTATAGCTAGGAGACAATAATAGTTAGGATAGAGGGACACTTCAAATAGAAAATACAGATTGACCAAAGTACCGAGGTAAGAAAGTATGAGGCAAGTATGTAAAACAATGACATGTGTGTTTGGATGGATCATTGTAAAATACATGCCTAGAAATGTAAGTTCAGTTATTTCATGCAGGATTTTTATTTTATCTTATATATATTTTATTGATTTAGTTTTTACAGAGAGGAAGAGGGATAGAGAGCTAGAAACATTGATGAGAGAGAAACATCGATCAGCTGCCTCCCCCATATTCCCTACTGGGTATGTGCCCACAACGAAGGTACATGCCCCTGACCAGAATCAAACCTGGGACTCTTGAGTCCACAGGCTGACACTCTATCCACTGAGCCAAACTGGCCAGGGCAGGATTTTTATTTTTTATTTTTTAAATATATCTTTATTGATTTCAGAGAGGAAGAGAGAAGGGAGAGATAGATAGAAACATCAATGATGAGAGAATATCATTGATTGGCTGCCTCCTGCATGTTCCCTACTGAGGATCAAGCCTGCAACCTGGGCATGTGCCCTTGACTGGAATTGAACCTGAGACCTTTCAGTTCGCAGGTTGACGCTCTGTCCACTGTGCCAAACCAGCTAGGGCTCATGGAGGGTTTTTAAATAGTAAACAAAAAGTTTGGGATCTATCTAATGTAGGCAATAGAAAGTAGGTTTTTTGGTTTGTTTTTCTAACATTGGTGTGATGAGCTCTACTATAGAATGTTAAGTCTGCTCACACTAGACTAGTATTCTAAATAGATTGAGAGAGGTGTCAGGAATGTAGATGAGGCAGTTGTTGAAATAATTCAGGTGATGGAATCTGACTATAAATTCTAAAAGGTATAGATTGTAATAATTATATAAATAGAAGTGGGATTTGTGTTTGGTAAATGTTGGATTAAGGTGGGAGCACAGATAGCCTGAGGAGTTTTAAACTTGGGTAATCACAAAGGTAGTTTCTATTATATTAATAGAAATAAAAGAATAAGGTCGGGGAAGGAGGTGGAATGAATATTGGCCACATTATATGAGTTAATGATAAAGAACATAAGCTCATTCAGAATTTCTGAGTTTGAAACCATGATGAAAACGTTTACATTTCTTTGGACAAAAAAAAAAATATATATATATATATATATATATATATAATTAGTTCATTGCAGAGAAATTCTTTTTTTAAAATATATTTTATTGATTTTTTTTATCGAGAGAAATAAAGAGTTAGAAATATCGATGAGAGAGAATCATCAATCAGCTACCTCTTGCACACCCCCGACTGGGGATGTAACCAAGGTACATGCCCTTGACCGGAATCGAACCTGGAACCTTTCAGTCTGCAGGCTGACACTCTGTCCACTGAGCCAAACCGGTTTCAGCGAGAAATTCTCATTAAACTTTCAAGGCCTCTGTACTCTATAGACCACTGAGCACATAAAAACAGGCAACATTTTTCAGGGTTTCTAAACCCCCAAGTAAAGATCCCTTGGTGTAGTGGAAATTATATAGCAATCACAAGTGAAGAAGTTGAGTTCAGTTTTCAGTCATTCATCTTATCTTGCCTTTTATTTTACCTAGGGTTTCTTTTAACAGATTGTTGTAAATGTTAATAAAACAAGCAGGTGCTTTGTTAAAAAAAAAATTGTAAAGTCGTATGTAAAAGCTGAATTTTTATTATTATGTTAAAAAACAAAACTTCTGCCCTTACCGGTTTTGCTCAGTGGATAGAGCACCGGCCTGCAGACTGAAAAGTCCCAGGTTCGATTCTAGTCAAGGGCATGTACCTTGGTTGTGGGCACAGCTGGTCAATGTTTCTCTCTCATCAATGTTTCTAACTTTCTATCCCTCTCCCTTCTTCTCTATAAAAAGTCAATAAAATATATTTTAAAAAACAACAATGACTTCTAACATTTTGTCAGAGTAACAAAGAAAACCAATCATATTGTAAAGACATATTTAATGATTAAATTGCTCATAAAAGACTGCATTACTGTAGTTGCTCTGTATTATAGTTTAATCTAAAGTATAAGCACTGAAGTAGAATACAAAAAAAACACACAACATTCCCTTTCATTAAGAAGCTCATAATTTGCTGGGGAAAAATATGTTTGTAGATGATAAAGCAGTCACAAAACATTGTGCCAAGAAACAGTGTTTAAACTAGACTGCCTAAGAATTATTATCATTCATTGTATTGAAACTAGTTATATTTTTTTATTTTTTTATTTTATTTATTTATTTTTTTTAAAGATAGCTGCTCCCTGAGGATAGCTGCAGAGTTTCTTTCTTTTTTTTTTTTTAAATATATTTTATTGATTTTGTACAGAGAGGAAGGGAGAGATAGAGAGAGAGTCAGAAACATCGATGAGAGAGAGTCATCGATCAGCTGCCTCTTGCACACCCCCTACTGGGGATATGCCCGCAACCAAGGTACATGCCCTTGACCGGAATCGAACCCGGGACCTTTCAGTCCCCAAGCCGACGCTCTATCCATTGAGCCAAACCGGTTTCGGCAAAACTAGTTATATTTTTTTAAATGTGAATTATTTTGATCTGTTCATTTTATGTGAAATTCATAAAATAACATAAAAAAATAAGGATATGGCCGAAACCTGTTTAGCTCAGTGGATAGAGCGTCGGCCTGCGATTGGGGGGTCCCAGGTTCGATTCTGGTCATCTATGTTTTTAGCTCTCTATCCCTCTCCTTTCCTCTCTGTAAAAAATCAATAATATATATATATTTTTTTAAATTAATGATATGGAATTCTAAAATAACTTTAAATTTTACCTGCTAATTTAATCTAGTTTTACACAGAAAGAATTGATTTAGTAAAACTGTTAACTATTCGCAGAACACAGAAGAACTCATCAAACGTCAAGAAGTTGAACAAGCCTTAGCTGGTTTGACTCAATGGATAGAGCTTCAGCCTGTGGACTGAAGGGTCTCAGGTTCCATTACAGTCAAGGGCAGATGCCCAGGTTGCAGACTCAATCCCCAATAGGGGGTGTGCAGGAGACAGCCAATTAATGATACTCTCTCATCATTGATGTTTCTATCTCTCTCCCTCTTCCTTCCTCTCTGAGATCAATAAAAAATTATTTTAAAAAAATAAGTTGAACAAAAAAGGTGTTGATTTGACATTAGCTCTCAAAGAGTCAGTTATTTTATTTCTTTGGAATCTATTTACTTGATTAGTTTGAGAGGAATAAAATTTTTAGTGAAAAATCATTAACCTTTTAAATAGCTTCAGAGCATTGCATTTATAAGGTATCCTTTGTTCTGATTTATAGACTAATAAATAGATGAGACTAGTAATTTTTCAGATTCTTTTAAAAGGTGTTAAATATTTACCAATATTATTTTTCTCTTAATTTTCTTTCTGCTGTTTTTAAGAACTCAGCATTGTTTTGTTTTCTCATATTTCTAAGTCAAACAAAAAGAGTATTTTTTATTTATTTATTTATTTTTTAAAATATATTTTATTGATTTTTTACAGAGAAGAAGAGAGAGGGACACAGAGTTAGAAACAGCGATAAGAGAGAATCATGGATCAGCTGCCTCTTGCACACCCCCTACTGGGGATATGCCTGCATCCAAGGCACATCCCCTTGACCGGAATCGAACCTGGGGCCTTTCAGTCCACAGGCTGACACTCTATCCACTGAGCTACACCGGCTTCGGCAAAAAGAATATTTTTTAAATTAAATTACTTTCATTATAGGCTATCCATTTACCTGCTGAGACAATGAGAATAGTGCTGGAACGCTGCTACAATGATTTGCGTCTTCTCACTGTGCCTAGTAAAACCCTGAAGGCCGAAGGCTTTTTTAGAAGTAACAAGGTATCTCTTATTTTTTCATTATTATTTCCTATGTTGGTAATAGCAAATGAAATTAAGTTTTAATATTATAAGCTCAACTTCTAGCAATATCCTTTGTAGTCAAGTCAGATCTGGCTTCTTTCTGTCCTGAATTAGTCTTGCTGGCTCTTCTTTTTGCCTTGATCATGAGCCTTTCCCACCTGGAGTGTACTTTCTCTTCCTACATTTTTTTTCAAGCCTCAGATTAGCACTGCCTCTTTGATGAAGCTTTCTTGATTATTTTGTTCATAATGATTAGGTCTTTTGAATTTTATTCATTCTTGAGCTTCTCCCATAAAGTAGTACATACTTCATTGTGAAAGTTAGAGGCATTCCTAGTATAAAGAAAATTATCATATTGGCTTCACTCTTTGCCTACTCATCTATCTCAGTTAAAAATGAGAAAGTTCATGTTGACGTTTTGTTTCATTTTATGATGTCACTGCATTTCATTATCATTTTTCCCATGTACTTCTAATGCCATTGGTTTTAGCTGGATAAATTATACTCAAAAGTTTCCTTATTTGTCATTTTTATTTATTACCTTTTTCAATCTCATTTTTCTTGCTTTTTAAATTTTATTTAACCATATTTAGTATTATTGATTAATCCAACTGTATTTTGTTTTAATACTTTTATGTGGTGTATTTGTGTATCACATTAAAAGTTCTAATCCACCTTAATATTGGTTTAGGGAGCAGGAGAGATCTCTTCTTTTTCTTCAAGTGGTTAACTGTTAATCCTGATGTGTAACATTTATTGAATAATAGTTATATTTTTATACAAAACTCAAAACGCTGTTCATAATTGCCAATTTATATATGTACATTTCATTTTCTAAACTTTACTATGGAAAATTTTAAGCATACATAAAAGAATAGTGTTATGAACCCCATGTACTCAGCAATTAGCTTCTATAATTTTTAATTTCATCTACATTCAACCACCTACTTCTTCCAGATTATTTAAAAAATATCCCTAGTATCATATCATTTTATCTAATTAATCCAAACATATATCTTTAAAAGATGAGAACTTTTAAAAACATAACTATAAATTATATTATTACACCTAAAATATTAACAGAAATGTCTTAATATCAACCATTATATATCTAGTAAGTATTTGAATTTCCCTGATTATCTTATGCAATTTTTTTCAATAGGATTTGTCTGTTCAAAACAGGATCCAAATAAAGTCCATAATATATCTCTCAACTCTATTTTAATGTAAAGATTCCCCTGTGTATTTTTTTATTGTTTCCTTGCAATTAATTTGCTATAGAATCAAATCATTTGTCCATTAGATTTTTTTTTCTGTATTCTGGATTTTGGTCTTGCATTTCCAACATATCTTTATACATGTTCCTCTATCTATATTCATGCTAAGCTTTGATTTCCTAAAGCGCAAGATATGGATACAGAAATTTCCTGAAAATGGACAACCCAATAAATAAGATACCTGCATGTGTGTGTCTATCTCTCTTAGCACAGTTTTATGGCTAATTATAAATACATATAAACAATATTTAGTATAATCTCCAAAAACCATGCATATGTCTTTTAGAAGCACTATCATCCCAAAATGTATCACTTATTATTCACTGTCTGGTACTGACATAATATGATGAATGAGAATTTCACTAAAATTAATGATGCAATATAACTAATGATGCAATATAACCCTTTTGACTTAATATTTAGGTGTTTGTTGAAAGTTCTGAAACTTTGGATTACCAGATGGCCTTTACCGACTCTCATTTGTGGAAACTCCTGGATCGGCATGCAAATACAATCAGATTATTTGTTTTGCTACCTGAGCAATCTCCAGGATCTTATTCCAAAAGGACAGCATACCAGAAAGCCGGAGGTGATTCTGGTAATGTGGATGATGATTGTGAAAGAGTCAAAGGACCTGTGGGAAACCTAAAGTCTGTGGAAGCTATTCTAGAAGAAAGCACTGAGAAACTCAAGAGCTTGTCACTGCAGCAGCAGCAAGATGGAGATAATGGGGACAGCAGCAAAAGTACTGAGACGAGTGACTTTGAAAATATCGAATCACCTCTCAATGAGAGAGACTCTTCTACATCAGTGGATAATAGAGAACTTGAACAGCATCTTCAGACGTCTGATCCTGAAAATTTTCAGTCTGAAGAACGATCAGACTCAGATGTGAATAATGACCGGAGTACAAGTTCAGTCGACAGTGATATTCTTAGCTCTAGTCATAGCAGTGACACTTTGTGCAATGCAGATAATGCTCAAATCCCTTTGGCTAATGGACTTGACACTCATAGCATCACAAGTAGTAGAAGAACTAAAGCAAATGAAGGAAAAAAAGAGACATGGGATACAGCAGAAGAAGACTCTGGAACTGATAGTGAATATGATGAAAGTGGAAAGAGTAGGGGAGAAATACAGTACATGTATTTCAAAGCGGAACCGTATGCTGCAGATGAAGGTTCTGGGGAAGGACATAAATGTATGTACTTAAAAAAGAAAAGGCTTCTTTAAATTTATACTCAGTTTATTTAAAATTTTAGTTTAAAAAATCAGCTAAGAGTTATATACTTTGTTCTAAGACCACCTGTAACTTCCTAGATTATAAAACTGTTCCCTATCACCTTAGTTTTCACTTTCGATGGAGTTATAGTGAACAGTGAACAGCATTCTTAGACCTGTGAAACACATTAGACCTTTGACAGTAATGATGTCATAACTCTGGTGAGATGTTATTTTTTAAAAAGAATATTTTAAAAGGGAAATAATTATGATAAAAATACTAAATAAAGTATTATGAAATAGTTTAAGAAGTAAATAATATACAAAAAAATAAAAAGGACACTTTAGAAAATGCTATACTCAATGTACTCAATGCCCAAAAAATTTTTTTATCTCTTCCCCTTCCTCCAGTGCAAACAATTCCCCTCTGACACCCCTTAAAAAGTATATAACTAATTGAAAAAGTCAGAGAAAAGGAAAGGTGCTTTTGTTTTTTAACTAGTAAGGTCCAGATAACACTGGAAACATGTGACATTTACACTTACAACTTGCAGAAACTCAAGTGAGAAAATGTGTATTGGTGGGCCCAAATGGAGACAGAGAAACTCTATAATAATGCTTTAAATTTCTATGGAGGTTTTTTTTGTTTGTTTGTTTTTTTCCTTCTCTTGTAAGGCTCATTGACTTACGTTATCTCATTTAGTTCTTATTAGCTGTGTAAAATTGATGTAGATGCTTTTCACTGATGAAGAAATTGGCTTAGATAGGTAAAATAGTTTGCCTGAAGTCACAGAGCCAGTAGGTCACACTCCTGAGATCAAACTTGGGTTTTGATTGTAAGCCTCATATGTCTTCTACCATCTCATGACTACTACCACTGCTCCTTACTTTCCTCACATCATAGTAAAAAATTAGCCAGTAGCTATTTTTACCATTTTCAACCCTGCAAGAGCATTGGAATAATTAAAACTAGTTTCTCTTTAGGCAGAGGTTAGAAATTGTGGGGAAGCTCGGGAGATGCAGTTACTATATATCTGGCACTGTGCTCAAAGCATGATAACTCTACTACCTCATTGAATTCACTGTAAAACTATGAGATAGATACTATTATCATCTTCATTTTTCAAGTGAAGAAATGGAGGTATGGAGGCTGATAGCTTGCTCCCTTGTCAAGGAAGCAGGAGAGATAACCCAGCCAGAGCCCGCCCTTTGCTGTGTAGAACTAGAAATATGTGTATTTGGAAAGAATTTCTTGACGTTTGTTTTTAATTCAACAGTTAAAATAAATAAATAAGCATTTAAATATATCAGAACATTTAAAGCTGTTAGATTAGCCTATCATATACTCAGTGTCCATGTATTTTTCCATCTGATGTTTTATATTAGCTAAAAGTCAAATAATTGAAAAGAGTGCTTTTTCCTGCTTACAGTACAATAATAAGTATATGATCTGTTCTATTTGTAACATGACAGGTTACTTTTACAGTTTTGTTTATGTTTTGTTTTTTTGTGTGCTTAGGGTTGATGGTGCATGTTGATAAAAGAATTACCCTGGCTGCTTTCAAACAACATTTAGAGCCCTTTGTTGGAGTTTTGTCCTCTCACTTCAAGGTCTTTCGAGTATATGCCAGCAATCAAGAGTTTGAGAGTGTTCGACTGAATGAGACACTTTCATCATTTTCAGATGACAATAAGGTTGATTAAAATAATTTTTAATAATTAGAGTCTTTTAAATGATAGAAATGAAAACATCTTGTACTACATCCAAGTAAGATGAACTAGACACCCTAAATGGATAATTTGATATTTAGTGGTTATTTGTTGTTGGGTGCTTTTTCACTCATCTAAATGTTAAATGTTAACTGTGTCAGTTACTGTTCTAGGTGCTGGGGAATCAGAGGTAAAATATATCTGTTCTTAGAGCCCATTATCTAGAGAATTTTGGAAAACAAGCTAAACAGTGGGTGAGAATGGGTTGTTTGTTCTGCTGAGAAAGTACATCTAAAACATGTTTTTAATTTATAGATTACAATTAGACTGGGGAGAGCACTTAAAAAAGGAGAATACAGAGTTAAAGTGTACCAGCTCCTGGTCAATGAACAAGAGGTAAGTAATAAACTTAAACGCAAGATAAGATCACTTTTATTAGTAATTAAAAATATACAATTCAGAAATTTTATTACTAGTCATTTCTTTTTATCTCTCTAAAGCAGAAGCAGGCAAACTTTTTCTAGGATGTCTTTTAGTTGTGCAGGCCATACTGCCTCTGTCATAGCTATTCAATTCTGCCATTGTAGCATGAAAGCAGACTATATGTAGAACCAATGCAAGTGACTCTGTCCCACTAAAATTTTATCTATAAAAGCAGGCAGGGGATGAATGTTGCTCTCAGGACATTTTTTGTTGTGTCCCTGCTCTAAAATGTTGCTGTGATCGTTGGAGTGAGGCAAAAATTTCCTGCTTTTCAAAGGGTATTTTGTTTTCTGGGAATGATTGTATAATGCTACAAATGGATAACACTTGATCTGTTGAGTTTATAGGCTCTTTTTGTGTTCAGAGCATCATTTTAGTATTTAACAAGTGTTTACTATATGTTATAAGAGCTTACAAGTATTAATTCTTTTAAGTCTCTAACTACTATTTGTTATTCCCATTTTATAGATGAAGAAACTGAGGCAGAGAAGTTGAGTAACTTGCACAAAGTCATACAACTTGAAAATAGTGGATTAAGGTTCTAACCAGGCTATGTTTTTAGGGAGTAATCAATAACATATTTTAGGGAGTAATCAATAACAATAATACATAAGTCAGAAAAATAAGGCAAAGACCTTATTTTCATGATGTTTATATCTTATTGGGGACCTAGACAAATGTGAAAAACATATAAGGGGATACATTTTTCATGAAATAACTTTATTCATTCAACAAACATTTTATTGGGCACCAATCACATCTCTTATATGTGATCCATTACAATCATTTTGACTTATATGTTTCTTCCAAGTTTGGGTTTTGTAATAAATAGTATGTCTCTTTTGAGACATTTAATGAATGTTACTTGGAGAATTAGTATGCATTTCCCTTATTTTAGTCTGTAAAGTGATTCTTTTTACATTCAAAATTATCACTTTAATACAAGAAGGGAAATATGAATTTGTTACTTTAATCTTTACAGTGACTTAGTAAGGAAGATACTGTCCCCAGTTTTATAGATGAGAACTCTGAGGCACAGAAATATTAAGTAAATTACTCAAGATAACTAAGTTAATAACTAGTGGAGCCAAGATTTGAACCTAGGAAGATATCTTAGACCCCTAAACTGAGGCCCATAATTATCACAGTGTAAAATGCAAATAAAATGTCTTATTAATCTTATTTTAATGTATAACTCAAGCTCTAATTATTTATGTTTCTAGCCATGCAAGTTTCTGCTAGATGCTGTGTTTGCTAAAGGAATGACTGTACGGCAATCAAAAGAGGAGTTAATTCCTCAACTCAGGGAGCAATGTGGTTTAGAGCTCAGTATTGACAGGTAAAGTAAACTTATAGTGTCATCAGTGACTTGAAGAAAGAACGTGTGTCAAATTATATGGATTGATGTGATTTTCTAAAATTAGAAAAATTAAAAATCTCTATAGTATTCAGAATTTCAGCACTGCAAATTAGTTTAATAGAACTAAGCAAAAGTGCTAGAGTTGTATTTAAATTTCCTCTGTATAATACTACTAAAGATGAAGTATTAGGAGCATTTTATTTTATTTCCCTTAAATTTTAATGAATAACCATTTGACTTAAACATAATTAATTATTCCCTGATGTCAGATTTATTTCATTTTTTAAAGTTAAGAATTTCAAATTATAGTACTTTAAAATGTCTTATCATATTTGTAGGTTTCGTCTAAGGAAGAAAACATGGAAGAATCCTGGCACTGTCTTTTTGGATTATCATATATATGAAGAAGATATTAATATTTCCAGCAACTGGGAGGTTTTCCTTGAAGTTCTAGATGGTATTACCAATATATTTTTTTTTTGGGGGGGGGGAGGTGAATCACTTGGAAATGCTCTATAATTAATAGAAGCCTATAGTTCTTTTAATCAAATAATGAGTTTCTTCTGTCTTTTCTCTAGCTCCCATTTGCCTTTTAAATGTTCCCTTTGTGTTCTGATTTTTAAAAAATATTTCTTCTTACAGGGAAATTGCAATTTTAAGGTTTTATTTTTAGTACTTTTTACAGAAATTTTAAAAAATATTTTCTTAGCCATGTTTGTTACTTAGTTTCTTTTTTTGTTATGGCTTATTTTGTGTTGAAGATGTGCTATTGATAATTTATCAGAAATTTAGAGAACAATGACTAGTTTCCTAGGCTTTCATAATAAAGTACCAAAGGTGGGTGGTTTAAACTACAGAAATGTACTGCCTCCCAGTTTTGGAGGCTGGAAGTCCGAGGTCAAGGTGTCAGTAGCTTTGGTTCCTTCTGATGGTTGTAGGGAGAGTTTGTTCCAGGCTTCTCTCCTAGCTTATGGTAGTTTGCTGGCAGTCTTTCGTGCTCCCTGTCTTGTAGATGTATCATCCTGATCTTCACATGTTCTCCCTGTGGGCTTATTTATCCCTATCAAAATTTCCCTGTACATAAGAACTAGTTACTTGAAGGTCTACACTAATGATCTGATTTTAACTTGATTATCTCTGTAATGACCCTATTTCCAAATAAGGTCACATTCTGAGGTATTGGGGTGTTAAGACTTCAAAGGAGGGGGGGCGATTCAACCCATAACAGTGACCTAGAGGAAGTACTTGTGTTTGTCATACCTCCTGGTGTTACTATCATTGGTGTATTTAAAGTATTATTTCTCAGAGGAAGTAGTGGGAGGAAAGTTGGCTTTTAGGAGATGATATCAAGGAAAGCATTGGGTTTTCTATATATATTCTCTTGTGACTTTGCTATCACTTAGAAAGATTTTGATTTTCCTTTTACTCCCATAGAAATGAATATATAACTTCTGAATGTTTCTTTTTTAAATTGTGATATAATAGTTTTCAGAAGGCTCAGTAATACTAACACTTTGCCTATTTCAGGTCTAATTTGGTTTAAATTTCAATGGTTGAAATTTTTATTAAATGACAAGTTATGGGGAAACCAGGAAAAATCAGGATATTGTATTCTGTGTAAGGAAGTGCTTCACAATGTAATTTCTTCTCTGAGTGTCTGGGCCTTAGAGAATAATTACTGTGTCTGGGTAGGCCAGGAAGAGATCATGAAGAACACAGAAGTCACCCTTCCTAGGAAGGATTGATTATGTGTTAGCAGAGATGGGTTAGCCAGATAATGTTATTGAAAGGTGGTGCCTGCATCAGTATCATACCAATATATATTTTAGCATCAAATAGTTGAGTAAGAAGTCGTAGAATTAAATCTAAAAAGCATTTATTGACCTGTAAAGTTGGTGCTTAAAAAATGAATAAGCAACTAGTGATTGCTTTCTAGATGTACAAAGTCTGTGGGTGAACCAGAACTCGAAACCTGTAATTCCAAAATGATAGGTACTAAGGACCAAATCAGCACAATTTGTTCTTATATATACCAGAGAGAAAGGCAACAGTTGAGCTGGGTTTTGAGGAAATGGTAAATTTGGGGGTGTAAATTTTAAAGAGAAGAATTAATGACAGCCTGAGTAAATAAAGGAGATAGAGTGAAGACAATGTGATTACAATTTTAGATTGTGGATAGTAGCCAATAGAGAAGCAAAGATCGGAGATCCAGAGAAGAGAGTAATTGGTAGAGCAGTGCTCAGCAGGAGTCAAGAGAGAATGAAATTAGGAATACTGGTGGAAGCAGAGCTTGCAGAAGAGTTAGGAATCATCTTCTGAGACTGGAAGGGAAAGTAAATATTTCATTCTCCACACTCCTGGGGATAATTCGGTTCTTCTATGCCCACTTTGTCAGAGTAACACTTGAAGTAAATCCTTTGGTTTAGGGAGGCATAGGAAAAATCAGATTATAAACTCTGAGAAAATACTCTGCTAGTCTAATCTTGCATGTTCATAGGGGTGGAGAGGATGAAATCCATGTCACAGCTTGCAGTTTTGTCAAGACGGTGGAGGCCCTCTGAGATGAAGTTGGATCCCTTCCACGAGGTTGTGTTGGAAAGCAGTAGCGTTGATGAGTTGCGAGAGAAGGTAAGTTCATTTTTAACAAAATGAGCTAGTATACATTTTGTATTTTTCTCTGTATTGCCTAAGAGGTATCCTAGGAAGTGACTGCCAGATACTGACGCAGCAATCTTTCTTTCTTTGTCACATTTTATGACACCTTGAATTATACAATCTAGTTCTTTTAAGTCTCCTGATGCCTTGAAAAATAACATTGGTTTCTGGTCATTCAGAAGTGGACTCACTTTCCGTTATTTCCATCAATTTTTTCCTAAGTAGTTAGGGTTAATTAGAAGTTACCAGAGTAGCCGAAACCGGTTTGGCTCAGTGGTAGAGGGTCGGTCTGCAGACTGAAAGGTCCAGGTTCGATTCCAGTCAGGGGCATGTACGCTGGTTGTGGGCACCTCTCCAGTAGGGAGTGTGCAAGAGGCAGCTGGTCGGTGTTCATCGACGTTACTAGCTCTCTATCTCTCTCCCTTCCTCTCTGTAAAAAATCAATAATATATATATATTTAAAAAAAAAAAAAGAAGAAGAAGTTACCAGAGTAAATTGCTGTATGTATTTAAAAAAAAGAAAAGAAAAGAAAAGAAAAGAAAAGAAAAGAAAAGAAAAAGAGAGAGAGAGGTAAAATTAAATAAGAGAATCTAGATGATGTTCTCTTTTGAATTTTTTATTTTTTATATATTTTTATTTCTCAGAGGAAGAGAGAAAGAGAGAGAAACATCAATGATGAAAGAGAATCATTGATTGGCTGCCTCCTGTGCGCCCCACACTGTGACTCAAGCCTGCAACCCAGACATGTGCCCTGACTGGGAATTGAACCGTGACCTCTTAGTTCACAGGTTGATGCTCTCAACCAGGACATGCCGGCCAGGCTGAATTTTTTATTTTAAAAGTGAGAGTTTTAAGGATCTCTGGGAAAAGAATGAATTATTTAAAAGCAATACTAGGACAACTGGCATTTGGGGAAAAAAATTATGTCGATACTTTACACTAAACACAAAAATAAATCATAAATGTATTAAATTTATATTAAGTTAATAAAGTGATAAATATACTAGATGAAAATATTTTTATAATCCTGGAGAGGGAAAGATATTTGTAAGCATAATACAAAAAGCTAAAGAGAAAAAAAAAGATATATAGAAGTTAAATCTTCTGCACAGTCAAAAAAATTTTTTTAGGCAACTGATAGTGTTAAAAAATAAAGGAAAAAAAATTTGAAACTAATATATGAAACATGTCCATAATTTTAAGGAATCCACTACATTAATAAGATGAATAATCTCATTTTAAAATAGGCAAATTACATGATTAGGGAATTTGTTAAAGAAATACAAGTTAAAACAACCTAATTTTCACTTCCTATAATTGATGTAAATTTAGAAAGTCAGTGAAAACCTAAGGTCATTAAGGTAACAGGAAATTTACACCTTTGGTAATTGATATAATTTTTTTCATGGTTCAGTTGGACATGATCAACGATCCACATGTACAATTCCACATATAAGAATTCAGTTCAAGGAAATATTTGCAGAAATATGTCAGGATATTCATGGAAGTGTAAAGTATAGCAATGTAACTGGGAAAAATTTAAAACAGGCTCAATGTCCACATTAGTTGATGATAAAATAGTTCAAATATTTAGGAGAATGCAGTTATTTCATATCCTATTCCTACAATAGAATAATTATTCTTATAAAATAAATGTATAGAGATGTTTTATAAATAAAATTTTATATATTAGAAATTTTTGCATATAGTTTATATATGCATAGGAAAATGTCTAGAAGGAATATACTAAATTGATATTTCTGGAACATGGCATATGCAGAGCAGATAGATTAAATAATTTCGCTTTCTCCTTTTTTCCTAATTTTTTTAATATCAAATGTATATTACTTTTTTTTTTTTAAAAAATCTAGATATTTCTGTTTGTTGGATGAAAGGAAAATAACTTTTTAAAGTAAATTTATATTTTAAATGAATTCATGATGTTTTCTTTTATAGCTTTGTGAAATCAGTGGAATTCCTTTGGACGATATTGAATTTGCCAAGGTAAAGCCCTGAGAATGTTTGCATTGGGTAACGAGTAGGCATTAAACATGGTTAATGGCCTGGTTTATTCCTTCATTCTCCTTAGGGTAGAGGAACTTTTCCCTGCGATATTTCTGTCCTTGATATTCATCAGGATTTGGATTGGAATCCTAAAGTTTCTACCCTGAATGTCTGGCCTCTTTATATCTGCGATGATGGTGCAGTCATATTTTATAGGTAACATGCACAATGTTTTTGTTATTTCTAGTGATATAACATTTTTGTTTTGCATAAATGTCATTTTTCATAAATACTTTTATTATTGTTAGAGCATCCCTGACTAATAGAAATATAATGAGAGCCGCACATTTCATTTTGAAATTTTTCTAGTCGCCATATTTAAAAAAAAAAAAAAGAAACAGGAAAAAAATTTAATAAAATATTTTTAATCCTGTATGTCCAAAATATTATGATTACAACATGTAATCAATATAAAAAAAAGTCATTTGTGAGTTATTTTACAGTTTTCTTGTAGTAAGTATTAGAAATACTGTGTATATGCTATACTTCCAGCACATTTTAATTTTGATCAGGCACATCTACAAGCAGTCAGTAGGTACATGTGGCTATTCGCTGATATGTTGGATAACACAGATTTAGAGGACAAAGGAGTCATTGGAGCTTGTCAGATACAGGTTCAAATTTAGCTTTGTTATTTACCTAACTCCTCATTTGCAAAGTGGTGACAAATTTTATGAGAATTAGAACTATTATTACATTTTTGAAAACTGGTACAGTGCTTGTTATTAAATAGATGTTCAGAAATTATAGCTGCTATACTAATAACATGGAAATTGTGCCAGTTTTAGAAGTGAGTGCTATACTAATAAACACATTAGAATTTTACAACATCTTAGTATATGAGATTAATTTCATTTTTGACAGCAGATTTCACTTTCTCACTAAGGAGCATTATAGTATTCAAGCATAATTTAATAGAAGCAGGTGGCTATACTGGCCTAATGCATCATTAATATTTTAAATGTAGGGATAAAACAGAAGAATTAATGGAGTTGACAGATGAGCAAAGAAATGAACTGATGAAAAAAGAAAGCAGTCGACTCCAGAAGACGGGACATCGAGTAACATACTCACCTCGGAAAGAGAAAGCATTAAAAATATATCTGGATGGAGCACCAAATAAAGATCTGACTCAAGACTGACTCTGCTAGTATAGCATTTTCCCTGGGGGATTTGGTTTTAATTAGACGGTTCACTGCTACTGTGTAGTGCCATTATGGCCGGACATGGATAGGGGTAACCCCGTGACACCAGCACTGATTGGACCTTCACCAATCAGAAGCTCAGTGCCCAATGGGCCACTGTTTTGACTTGGAATCATGTTGTGCACTATAGTCAAACGTACTGTAAAGTGAAAAGGGATGTGCAAAAAAATAAAAACAAACAAAACCTGCTACTAGAAAAGGGGAAAGGGGAATGAGTAAATGTCTTTTTTTGCGGACAAATGTGCACATAGCCGCTAGTAAAACTAGCCTCAAACAGGATGCTCATAGCTTAATAATAAAAGCTGTGCAAAGGCCATGAATGAATGAATTTTCTGTTTATTTCACTGATACACACATTACCTCATTGACAATTCGTAAGTAAATGCAGCGTGTGTTGACTCTTGGAAAGCAGCAAAAATAGCTGAAGAAGGAAATTCTTAGAACCAGCCGTATGTAACCCAGTAAAGAATTGTGAATTTATGTTTTCTTGTTTCATTTTTTGCGAAGTATAAAGAACATTATACTGGAACATCGAAACATTTCCCTTAGACTGCTCCCAGCAGATGGCAGCTCAAATTGCTGAATATTGTAATTATAACTGTACTTAAGTTATGGATGTAGACAATACATTTCACTCGTTCATTCAGCATGTAAATATAACTGATCCTATTGAGTTAACCTACTTGCAGTTCACCTATTTCCCATGGTTCTTTTCACATGTCATCCATGATGTACATTTGTGTACATTGAGAAGTAAAGCAGTCTGTAAATGTATTCCTCGGTGAGGTTCCTCAGTGCTGGGTCCCATACGGTTGTATTTGCCCTTGTTAATGAGGTTTTTCTGTTCAGCAGCTTCATTTTTATTTCTTTTTGTACATTGCTTTTGAAAATATACTTCAAGTTTGAAAAATATACTTCCAGAACCCTTGTAAATCCCACTATAATTTTTGGAGTTGATTTGTAGTTACACGTAGTTTAACTTTGGGGAAATGTCTTAACATCGTGTTGAATAAACTTGCTAGTAAGTCAGGTCATAGCACAGGCTGGTGCAGTCAATGTGATTTCATTGCAGAGTCTATTAGAATCGGCAAGTTTTTGCTTTGCTAAATACAACTATCCAATGAACACAATTATACGTACATTTTGAAAATGCCATCTAATTTATAAAAATCAATAAAAAGGTTTTGGTAAAACTTTTTCATGCCAGATGCTGTTTACAACAATGAACATGCCAATAAAACATTTGTTCATTCTGTTGTGTTACTTTAGTCATTCAACTTTTATGGATGAAGAATCTGGGTTAAGAATTGATTTGTTTTCTTTAAATATAACATTTTGTAATGTGTACTGGATAATGATCTCATTTCTATGATAACATGTTTACAGTAAAGTTCTCATAAGAGATGAAAAGATGTTAATATTTAACTTTGGAGAATCCTGTCAATATTACAAAATCAGATTTTTACCTTTTTTACTTTTAAGAAATAATAATTAGAAAACAATATTAGCAGATGTTGGCTTTGCAGTTTGAATATAATGACTTAATATAGCTTAAAAGTCTCTTGGCATCCACAAGGATAAAAAACTTTTTTAAGGTATTTTTCTGGCTAATTTTTATTCCCTGTAAGCTATGTAACATTCTGGTCACTTTGAAGTAGTGTTCCGAGTTTGCATTGTTGGAACTGGCAGTTGTCTCAGAGGAAAACTGGGAACGTGGTGGGGAGTTGTCTCTCAGGATCACAGACTTTCTTTGGTCCATACAGGCCTGCCTGCTTGGGTCATGGGGTTAATAAACAGGGTTTCTGATTTCAGGGACTGACTGGAGCAAAGAAGGCTGATATGTAAACAAAACTAGCTGTGATCTTGTTTGATTTGGTTTTGTTTAGTGTTCCTATAAGAGTAAATGGTAAAATTCTTCTCATTCTGTGCCTTCTGCCCTGATTTTTTATTTGTGTTTGCTACTTTTAGTTGCAGGCATATCACAAATACCAAAAGTAAAGAAAATTTCATTATAGAAAAAAAGTTTAAGCTCTCATTTTTCAGTACCCACTGAGTGAAAAAACAATGTTGCCCTTAGTAATTTCAGTAAAGGGGTGGTAAACGTTTCAAAATGAACTTGTGATAGAACAGTAATTTGTGTTAAGGGAGATAAATGTGTGTCACACCAACACCACCAGTACCATCTCCACCATCCCTCCCCTTTCCTCAGATTCAAACGATCAAGTGAGCACCTCTGAGGCCAAGAGACAGAGCATTAACTGGACCAACTGCCCATGCCGGGCAGGCCCGGAGCCTGGTTCGCCTGCTGAGTCTCCTGAGGCTGAGACAGGCCACAGGCAGTAAACTGTGACCTTGCTTCCACGCGAGGTTTCAAAGCACTTTTATTGTGCGGCAGATGGGTTTGTAGGCACGGACATTTCTGAGGCAGGTGTTAAAGGCGAGGAGGAAAAGCTACTGTTTCAAGACCATGCTATGGTTTGCTGCTCTGTACAGAAGTTCCCTAGTTAAAACTCCACTTCAGAAACGATGGAAGTGAAAAATAATAAAAGTGGTGAGTGAAGGACTATCTACAAAAATGTTTGGCGATCTCTTTTGTATGTAATGAAAAGTACTTTAAAATTCTGAGAGGGCAGGATGAACCAGTGCCACAGCTAGAAAACGGTCCAGTAGCTATTGGTTGCCAGGCTGCACTGTTAGGAATGGCTTTGTGACACATCTCTAGGCCAAGAGAGGAGAGAGCTACAGGCTTGAAATGTGGCCTGCGTTAAATGAGTGCACTAAGTCTGGAAGTGACCTGTGAATGTATGGAATGCAATAAAGTCTTTTATTCTGGTTCATTTGGCTATCGAAGTTCTCCCTCTGAGTTTTGCCCTTTGTTATGCTTCCCAGCTCTTTTGTGCTTAGGACTTGCAAATTGTAGTCTAAAGTACATGAAATAGAGGAGAATCTGAATTAGCAAGTTTTTTGTTTGCTACCGTATTTTCCGGTGTATAAGACGACTCCCTAATTTTTACAGTTAAAACATAGGTTTAGGCCTATATTCACTGTATAAGACTAACCCCCAGTTCCGAGGCAACACCAGTTCTTTTTTTAATAGTCCGCCTCTCTAACTCTGGCCAATCTGAGCAGGCTTTTTACTAGAACACAGTGTAGCTTCGGGTACAGAACATGTATAATTTGCATGCATAAAAAGCCTGCTTGGATTGGCTGAGGTGGAGAGGCGGTCTATTAAAAAAAAAACTGGTGTTGCCTGGGAAGTGGGGGGGGTAGTCTTATACAGCGAATATAGGCCTAAACCTATGTTTTAACTGTAAAATTAGGGGGTTGTCTTATACGCTGGAAAACACGGTAAATAAAACAAAACAATTGTGTAGTTTTTGAAAAATCAATACTTGAGTCAAATAGCTATCAAAAGGCCATAAATTCTTAAATGCAAAATAGTGTCTATTATAAAGTTTTGTAGGGTGGTTTTATTTAAACCAGATTAATAAAGGAGCTTTTGTCCAGATAAATTTTAACCACTGACCTAGACTTAAGAGTATATGAAATCATGTCCCTTCCGTGTCGTTCACCTGGGGAAGCGGGGTGCTGTGGTCATGGGGTTAGGTACAGTGTTCATTTTCAAAACTTGGCTTTGAGAAACACTCAAGAATACTGGACAACCCCCAGAGTGTGTTAAAGCATTTAGAAAAGAATGCAGCAGTCAGTAGGGGCAAGCAAGGAGGACAAACAACACAGGCAGAATACTCGGCTCTCCTGTCTGCAAGAAAAGCTGGCCTTCCGACTGCTCATGGCTGAGAAGTGGCCTCCTCGCCAGGGAATTTCTAGTGGGCCCTGTGGCCTGGCCTGAGAGGTGGGGAAGATACTCGGGTGCGTTCCCTGCTCCCAGCCTGCCCCTTCCCTGTCCAGATCTCATAGTTTTCTGCCTCGTTGATAATACTTAAGGAACCCATTTAATTACGGAGTATCAACTTGAGATGCAAATATGCAGGGGTAACTGCCAGCCCTGTGTGCTCTGTAGAATGAGTTTGCCATTGAAGTCGTCGTCATCCCGCTCTCAGTGCAGTCCTGTCACTTTTTAAGTCACGGTATTATTAAAACAATCTGATCCTACTGGTCATTCGATTTAAAGCTTCCCTGCCACCAGCACAGTGCCCCTCCTTGGGGGGCTTGGCTTGGAGAGGAAGGCGGGCGGGCAATGCTCCTGCACCAACTCTGACTGGAGGAGGGGAAGAGGATAAAGACACCCTCTCACTGCAGCCTCCTGTTGGTCATGGTGGGGCTCCTGCCGCCTTTTGTCCTGTCTGTTCATTCACTGTGAACAGGTGCCCAGCAGGTCTTCCCAGACAAGGTCTCAATTCCAAACAGCACTGGAGTTTATGAAACTTGACACTTGCCAACCTCCTGCTGGCATGAGGCCTTCCTGTGAAATGTGTATCATTTGTCCCATGCTGCCCTGGTCCCCACTGAGCCTTTCACCCTTATTCCACCTTCCATCCCCCTCTCGAGGGGTGAGTGCTGTTAGAGTCTCCTTTTTGCCTCTGTTCCACACTGCGTAGCTGCTGTAACATGCCCCCTCTCCTCCCTGGCGCTCCTTTTCTGGTCCAGTGGCAAGTCAGTGGGACCTGCGGCTTCTCCACAGACTCACCCCCATAATGCCTCAGTACCTCCCGTACAAATTGTGTGCTGCTCTTGAATTTAGCTAAAGAAAGAAGTCTAACACCCCCCCCCCCCCCCGATTCATGGGAGTTCGGAGGGAAATGGCCTGTTTTCTGAACACTAACTTCCTCAGCGGGGATGTCTTACCCCTTTGCTGGGCTTTCCACAGAACAGATGTGCTGCTGCTGAAATAGCACCTCAGCAAGCCCTGCCCAGAGGGAGCTGCCCCACAGCTGTTGGCTTCTGAACGTAGAAACCCAGCCTAGCAATCAGTCATCTCAGAATAATCAAGTTGCATTTCTTGGCTGTCTGAAGGGGATACACAGACCTCAGGAATACTTAATGCCCCTTTTCTGATCCCACCCCACACCGCAGGATTCTCTTTTTAGAAAATACATTTTTATTGATTTCAGAGAGGAAGGGAGAGGGAGAGAGAGAAATATCAATGATGAGAGAGAATGATTGATCAGCTGCCTTCTGCATGCCCCACACTGAGGATCAAGCGCGCACCCGGGCATGTGCCCTGACCAGGAATCTAATCATGACCTGGTTCATTGGCCAATGCTCAACCACTGAGCTACGTAGGCCAGGCCCCTTGCTTCTCTCTCTAACTCTCATCCTTCTGCCCAGAATCCCTTTCTCCTGTGCCAAAACCTAAAGAATCAGGCTCGTGAGGCAGGGAAAGCCAGTCAAGAGAAGGAAAGAGAAGAAGGAACTAAACAGGAAGAATCTGCAGCCATTGTTTTTGTCCCATCACACTTCCTGTTCATTCTACAGTCTTGAGGGTGAATAGGCCAGCCATCCTCATCTGCGAGGAAGGTCAGGATGGAAACAAAGCCTTGGCAGGAACTCTGGCCCTAAGATTCACGTATCAAACTTCACCGAACCCTTACCACATTCCATTTAGAATTGTAAGGAAATACATCAGCTACTCTTTATGTGGATTTCAGCCAAGTATTTTGCAAAGCCTCTCTTCTTTGCATATATTTTCCTGGCTATTGATAACAAAGTAGAGAAAAATAATATACCTGATTGTCTCCCTGGCCCTTAATATAGAGCCTGACATATAGTAGGTGCTCAATAAATTTGATTGAAGTAATTTTCAGCCTCCAAACATTTGCTCAAATGTACCTTGTCTTCCAACCACTGTGAATTACTTGCTATTTCCCTACATACTATCTTCCTCCTTGCCTCCCTCCCTCTTGCCCAAGGCCCAGATGCCTTTTCCCATTCCTCTGGCCTCCTGATCAGCTCCTATCATCTTTGAGAGCCAGTTCCCATGCTAGGTTTTCCAAGCCACATCCTTTCAGGCACCATAACATTCTGTTACGATATCAGTTTGACTGCTCATGTTATTGGTGCTGGGTTTAGGGTATCCTTCAGGGTGGGGACCCTATCAGGATCAACCTGCACCCCCAGAGTATTATCAGCACCTGGTTCTGAGCAGGCAATCTGTAAGTATGTGGAATAATAAAAATGTACAATGATGATTTTAACATTAAACAGAGAAGAGCTCTATATTTGATCTTAAAGTTATCACTTGACCCTGAGTATCCTATCCTTCGTATTGTTTTGTTTTTGACTTCCAGCTCCATCACTTAACCTTTCAGAGCCTCCATTTCTTCATCTGTTGGAGAAAATACTCATGAATTCAATGAAGATTAAATGAGGTAATATAGGCAGCCTGCCGCCAGATAACCTCCATACCCAGTAGCTTTATTATCACAGGCCCTGAGGACCTACAGTGTGATGGCCCAGAGCTGTTTGATGAAGGAAAGCTCCCAAGGAAAGGGACATACACACTCCACTGACTCTTCCAGAAGACAGCGAAACACTGATACTCTCAAGACGAATTCCCATCCCCGAATGGTTAGCATTTCTAACACATTTTGATGCTGAAAGAAGTGTGCTTCAGTTGTCTGGAAAGTGTACTTACATGGGAGAGATGGAGGTCATTTTTTTTTTTTTTTCTGGCCGGAAGGGTTTTTTATATTTATCCAAAGTTAAAAGGAAAAAAGTCCAAGAACTACGAAAGAAGAGTTTAAGTGATTTATGCTTGATTTCTAAATGCAACATATGTGTGTATACATCACTTAAAACTCAAAGAAAGCATGCGTATACAATCATGTGCAACTTTTAAAATTTAATAACTCTGGATGAATACATGATGGAAACAGTCCATGACACCTGAAAAGATCGTTTGTGGAACAGCACACAGTTCAGAGCTCAGTCTGGATATTGCAGCCGTATTTCACAGAGCCTTGCTTGGTTTGATTTTCTCCATGTGGCTGATAATGGCCTGCAGTTGCTGGTAAGTGATTTTGCAAATTTCATTTACAATCCTGGCCCCACAATTACCCAAGTGCTGTTTCTGGCAAGTTAACGTAAATATTATGCTCCAATCCTGTCCCTTCAGAGTGACTAATGTAACTAACCGTCCCAGCGGACAGTGTCAGTTCCTCCTGTCACCACCATCCCACACTGAGGAGAACGCTATTTCCAAGAGGAGAAGTTGACTCTTGTAGGCATGTAGGTGCTAGTTTCACCTCCATTCCAGATGTGCCTCAGAAAAAGAAAAATTTCATTTTTCATCTTAGTGGGGGGTATTTTTGGTGGCACAGGGGCTGGTGGGGAGCAGTAGGTGAACATTAGGCTCGGGGTCACACTGGGTGAAATCCTGCTATGCTCGTCACTAGCCTGACCTCTCTGAGCCTCTGAGATGCTGACAGTTGGGGAGATCAATGCCTCTTCACCGGGCTGTGGTGACAGGTCTGGATCGTGGAGGGGAAACTGCTTGCCTGGCACAGAGGTAGGAGCTGAGTGGCTGCTAAAAAGCTGAATGCGTGCAACTCGGAGACCACAGGATGTTTCTCCCGAAGGCACAGCGAGCCTGTGCTGAGCGAAAAACTGCGTGAGGGTTTCATTTGTTGGATTTTTGCCAGGTTTATGTTGCTAAACAGGGCACTCTTCTCCACGTGTATAAGCATCAACATTTCCCTACAACCCGTCATGAGGAAATTCTGCCCCCTTTTCGGTCCCCTCCTTGGCTGGGGTCAGGGGGCACAGAACAAAATGAAACGTGCCATCTGCCAACCAGCGGAGGCAAAGCAGCCAGCACCTGGACCTGTTTAGCAGCCTTGTCCCGCCTTCCCTTGCGCCCAGGCAGCGGCACTGAGATGCCTGGGGTGCAGCGTGGGGAGCGGGACAAGTATGCGGCCCCTCATTCTGTTTCGAGCCAGAGGGAGAATGTTCTGGGAAGAGGCCATGGAAAAAAGCCTGGTGAGCCAACACCTAGAGGACACAGCTGGGGAAATAAATTAGCTACTTCTATTGCACGTCTACCCGAGGACAAGCTCGGCTCTAGATCTCGTCTCCCTCCAGCAGCTCGGCAGCGGCATCCGGCTCCCCGAGAGCCATCTCCACCGACAGGCTCCGCTCCAGGTCCTCCAGCTCCCGGCGCACCTCCTCGATGAAGCTGCCGTCTCCGTAGTCACCGGGGGCCTCTCGGGGCACCAGGCTCTTCCCCACCTCCTCATGGCTCCCCACGAAGGTCGGCTTGCACACATAGACCAGGCTGTGGCTGGGGGGAGAGGGGCTGTGGTTCAGCCAAGGGCCGTGTCTCCCCAGAGCGCAAAGCCAGCTCTCAACTTGGGGAGCCTGGGCCGAGAAAAGGCTCTCCTTATACCTCCCGCCTCCTCACCTACACGACCCTCCTCTAACATCCCTCCTGCCAGCATCTTACTTTAGAAAAGATCGCTGAGGGCGCCCATTTCGAAGAATGTACTCAAGGGGCAGCTCCCTTCTCCCCCACACCGTCCCCCCCCCCCCCACACACACACACACCTTCAGGGGCAGGCCTGGCTTCCTGTGACTGCAGGCTCAGCATCCCAGGGGCAGGCCCTGAGGACAGGGGAGTCTGAGAGTTTACAGCTCCTGGCCCATCCATGCCTCCAGGCAGGCGCAGCCCCTGATAGTGGGATAGGGCCTAACAGCCCCCTCTGCTGGGCCTGGGGAGCCTTGGGCCTGTGGGGCAGGGAGGGGCCTTCTGTCTGCCCAGCCACCCAGGAATCTGCTGGGAGAGAGGGCTGGGTAACAGACGCCCAGAGGCCTGGGAAAAGCACACTGAGAAGCAGCCATGGTGGTCTCTCAGAGCCTCCAGTCCCCTTTGGTATCCTCTGCCTCGGGGCGGGGCAGGCCCTCTGGGTTTCCCTCCTAATTCTCTGCAGGCACCTTCTCAGCTGGTCCTTTGTCTAATGGGCCTGGGCTCCCCTCAGCCCTCAGCGCTCCTCCCTCCACACCCTCTTCCCAGACTACTCACTCCTGAGGCTTCAACCACCACCTAGAGGTGCCCCAACGCTGTACCCCCCCCTACACACCTTCTTCTCAGCCCCAGTCTTCCAGGTCTGACCACGACTGAGCCCCTCCACCAGGAAGATCAAGGACACTTCCCATCAAACCGATCCTCAACGGAGCCCACGTTTCCCGGCTCCTGAGTCCCCAGGGGGTGGCACCCCATACCCCCTTGGCCCCGGATAAGAAGGACAGGTGGGGCCTCACCTGTGAGGCTGGCAGAGGAGGCCACTGGCACACGGGCAGCGGTCCAAAGCGCCGTCAGGCTCCAGCTCCCAGGTGATGAGGTCCAGGAGCCGGCTGGCAGGGTCGTGGCAGAGCTCACCCTCCACGGGCAGGGGTGTGCACACGGGGAACAGCAGGCCTGGAACCAGCCAACAGTCACCCCTGCGCCCCCGCACCACAGCAGGCACCAGGGGAGGCAGAAACGGAATGCAACCTCCCACGTGCCACCCTCAGCCTCCAGACGGAGGTGAGGCTTGAAGAGTGAGAAGCAATGAGAATGGCAGAAGGGGCTCAAGAGAGAATGAGCTGGAGCAGTCAAGGAAGACTGCCTGAAAGAGGGGCTTATGCTGGGTTTTGAGGCAAAAGGTCAGGAGAAATTGACAGTAGGAGACAGGTGTTCGAGGCTGGGGTTCAGCACCAATAAAAGCCTGGGGGTGGGATCAGGCTGAGGCCGTGAGCCTCCCAAACGGGGTGAGTGGTGGAGAGAAAAGGAGGATGGTTCAGCTGGCGCTGGCCAAGGCTTGGAGATGGACCGGGAAGTCTAATTAAAGCAACAGAACAGGAGTGGCTGCCACTCCCAGAGGAGAATTATCCAGAAAGCTGTTCCTTAGGAAACCTGCAGGAGCAGCAGGTACCAGGTGCACTGGGGCATGGGGAGGGTGGCCAAGGGCGAGGCTTTCAGAAACACTTGGCGGAGAGGAGAGTGCCTTAGCTCCGCTCACCAGGGCGGGGCGTGGCATGGAGGCCGTGGAAGAGGGGCCATTCGGTTCATAGGAAACAGGCCTGGGGCCAGTGCTACCTCAGGCTGGGGAGTGAGTGAGGTGGGGTGGGACGCTGGGGCTGGGGACAGGGCTCAGCCTGCACCCAGAAGGGAGCCACCCACCTCTTTGGAAGGCACAGCACAGCCCGGGCTGGCAGTCCCTCTGGTTGTCGCAGATGGTCCCGTTGCTGCCTTTGGTGGCTGTTTCGGTGCAGTGACCCCAGGCACACAGCTGGTCTCCACAGCACTCACTGTCCCGCGTGCAGACCTGCAGAAGGTGGGGAAGCACAACAGCCCGGCTCACAGACCCGGCGAGCCCAGCCTGTACCCCCAACCCCCAGTGGGAAAGCCTTAAGACACTACCACATGGACCCTTGTACAGAGGAGGAAACAGGCCCTCGGTCGGGGAGGGGGGGTTTGTGGAAGTCACAGGAGCAGAGGTGAGGGGCCAGCACACTGGGAAACAGCCCTAGGGGAGGCATGAACCCGAGTCCTCCCTCACAGCTTGGGGTTGTGCCCTGCCTCCTGCTCATTCGGTCATTAGGTCCCTGGGTCAGGAAGGAGGTGGCTTAGGGCCACAGATGCAGGCAGCACCAGGAGCCTTGGAAGCTGATTAGATTAAGGCCCAAGCCCTGGAGGGCCAAGTGGGTGGTCAGGCACGTGGGTGCCGTGGGCCTGGATCCCACGTGGGAAATGCAATTGGAGAGCAGAGCTGGTCCCCACAGCTGTGCCCAGTGACGGCACCCAGCGGGACAGGCCGGAGGGAACCCGCTCCCACCACGGCGGCTGGAAAACAGAGGGCTGCCTGCCGTCCTGGAGGTGGCGGGTCAGCAGGTGGCCTCCTGGTCACTCCAGGAGTCAGCCCATGGGGCGCTGCGGAGGGGCTCCTCCCGGTGGGGACCTGGTGGAGCTCCAGAGGAGAATGCGGGGCGGGGCAGGGAGCTTCTCCCCAGGGCTTTTTTGGGCCCCCATGCCCTGGTGTTGCAGCCCGGAGGCCTCTGGACACTCACTGCCTGGTGGTCCTGGCATGGCTGGCAGGTGTACTGGAAGCTGGCAAACTGGCAGTACCTGCGGGACCCACAGTCCTCGTCAATGATGCACTCCTGCAGGGGGAGGGGGGTGGGGAAGACAGCTTCATCAGGAAAGGCAGCAAGCCCACCTCACCAGGAAGAGAAAGCCCCACTCACCCCCCACCCCCAGCTCCGCAGACTCAGGGCACAGAGACAGGCTCCAGGCCCCTCAGGCTGGCGGGCCCTCACCCGCACAGCTCGGGAGGCTCCTGCCCTCTGGGACGCCACACCCAGTCCAACAATCCTCTCTGTGTGCAGCCTCCGCTCACACCCAGGGTGGGGAGCCTGGAGACCAGGGCCCTGCTTCTGCTCTGAGCAGATGGATTTAATAAAAAGAGCTAATGAGTTGCAGGCCCGGGAGGAGCTGGAGTTCATCGGGGCCTTGCTGACTGAGAAGGAAAAGGGTGGCCACGGGGAGCCCACATCAGGGTCCTGGGCCTGGGGCTCACCAGGGTAGCTGCCAGCTTCCAAAGGGGGCGAGGGCACGGCTTGTGTTTCCCACCCCACCCTCCACCCCGACACCTACCCCGTCCACCTAGACGCTTCCTTATGGCTGCCAGCCCCACTTGGCTCGAGAAATGGAGGAGAGAAGAAAGGAAGGGACTCTGTCCAGCTCCGAGTTCCAGAGAGAGAGGTCACGGGAGGGTCACCGTGGTCCTGCCAGTCACGGACACGGGGCTATGTCGGCGCAGGCCGGGGCCCTGGCAGCCGCAGAGGAAAGGGCAGGCGTGGGGAGACCAGGACAAGAGCCACCACCACAGGGGACTGTCACCCCGGCCAGCACAGGCGGGGCTCGCCCAGGGGGCAGCCGGGGGGATTGCTGTTCCCATACTCCGCACTGAACAGGGAGGCCAGAGAGGCCAACGGGCCCGGGATCGTACAGTTAGGTCAGAGCAGGGGACTCTCCACCGCCAGCCCTGGGGAGAAGGGCTCAGGCTCCAGATGCAGCCATCAGAGACTGTGGATGAGGAAGACCCGCCTGAGGCAGGGATTCTGGGCCCCAGCAGACCTTCTGCAGGTTCTAAGGGGCGGGCGGGACCTGCCACCCACTCTGAGCAGGGCAGGCTCCGTGCTGACAGCAGGTGCCCGCGGGGTCCAGCCCAGCCCCGCTCTGCCCGGTGCACAAGGCAGCAGTGCTCTGGGTATGGACAAGGAGACTGCCAACGGGCTTTCCGGGCACCTGTGGGTAGGCTGCGGGGTCAGCGGGGAGGCCCTCCGGGTGGCTTTGTGGCTGGTGTCCTGGTCCAGGGCTGGGTGTACCCCACTGCAGGCCTGAGGAGGGGGGGTTAGGTCTAGGGGGCTATAGGCTCGGCTTCTGCAACAGCAGCCCTGGTTCTGAGCCTCAGCCTGGCACACCTCGGGGAGCGGTCCTGTCCTGCTCACCTCGCAAGGCTTGCCCAGCCAGTGGACTAGCAGTCCCACGGCCCCTCCGAAGCATGACGGGAAAGCGGCCACTCGGAGGCGGTGTACGAGTCACCACCGGCACCGGGCCCTGGGCTCCCCAGGAATTCCAGAAGAATCAGGGGTTGACACCCAGCATAATTAAAAAGCAATTTCAATCTTTACTGCAAGTTCTTTTAAAATGTCTGAGGAGAGCATGTTGCCTGCCTCCGCAAAAGGACCAAGCATCGCTGTTCTCTGCGTCTCCCCGGCGTCTGACTCATCCCTGTTCCCGTGCCAGCAACCCCAACATGTCAGCGTGCCACCATCACTGTTTTCCCATGAGAAAACAGGCTGGGGTGGGGGTGAGAGTGGGGATGAGGATGGGGGAGGAAGGGGGGGTAGAAGAGCTGCCGATGTGGGAAGCTGAGCTGGGGCTGGGCACTCCGTCTGTCTGACCCCAGAGTCCAGATGCCTGAGAAGCCCACTGGGCTCTAAGTAAACCTCCAGATGAGCCTTGTCTCAGCCACCAGGCTCCCTAGACAGACTTGAGCCGGCCAGTTCAGCAGAAGCATCCTGACCTTTCTTCCCAAGGAGCACAGCTAAGGGTGGGGGAAGGCCACAGGCATCAGCATCATCTCTGACCCCAGCCACAGCTGAAGCACCGGGGCCAATATGAGAATAAAAAAAATATATAATTCCATTTTTTAAAAAAGGCAACCCCATAGAAAAGGAGACAGAGGGTCTAACAGACAACTCCCAGGAACAAAACCAAGCCGCTTTGCCTCTCCACACAGAGGGTGTCTGACCTCACCAGCAATCAGGAAAGGCAACTGCCAAGAGCTTCCACCCACAATGAGAACAGGGGGAAAGGCTGATGCCCTCTGTGGGGGAGGAAGACTACCCTCCCCAGAGGCCCACGTCCCACTCCCTGGGACCTGACATGTCACATGGCAGGGGGCACTGAAGTCACGTCACATGGAGGTTGCTAATCAGCGGACCTGATGATAAGGAGAGGTGCCTGGATTGCCCAGGTGAGCCCAGTGTAACCTAAAGGGCCGTGAAGACAGGAAAGGGGCGGAATAGGCCGGGTGATGCCACGGGACGCGGGGGAGCACTCCACCAGCCACCTGACGCCGCTGGCATAGAAGGGGGACAAGAACCACAGGCCAGGGAACAGACTCCCCTGCCGACCCGGAGCTCAGGCCAGCGGGACTCCTGCCGGACCTCTGACCTACAGAACCGTAAGATAACAAATTCCTGTTGTGAACATAGGGCCGTGGTTGGCAAACTGCGGCTCGCGAGCCACATGCGGCTCTTTGGCTCCTTGAATGTGGCTCTTCCACAAAATACCACGGCCTGGGCGAATCTATTTTGAAGAAGTGGCTTAGCCGAAACCAGTTTGGCTCAATGGATAGAGCGTTGGCTTGGGGACTGAAAGGTCCCGATTCTGGTCAAGGGCATGTACCTTGGTTGCGGGAATATCCCCAGTAGTGGGTGTGCAAGAGGCAGCTGATCGATGACTCTCTCTCATCGATGTTTCTAACTCTCTATCCCTCTCTCTTCCTCTGTACAAAATCAATAAAATATATTTTTAAAAAAAGAAGTGGCTTAGAAGAAGTTTACGTTTAAAAAATGTGGCTTTCAAAGGAAATATAAATATTTCGTTGTACTGTTGACTTTTGGCTCTGTGGACTAATGAGTTTGCCGACCACTGGCCTAGGGTAAGCCATGCAGGAGCAATAGGAAACCGATGTGATAGCCGGCACTGGTTGGGATTTGAGGAAATGGGCCATGCCAGACTCTTTGGGGGTCATTAAACTTCAGCTGGATGTGTTTTTGCAGGCAACTCATCAATACCTGCCACACATCTAAATGCTTGTCTACTGAGACCCAGTCATTCTCTTCCAGGTGACCACCCTCGAACACTGTCCACATGTACAAACACCTGAGTCCAGGGATGCTTAAGGCTACACCGTGAGAGTATTTCTAGTCCAGAAGTAGTGGAAGTGCCCAACAAGAGGGGACTGATTGAACTGCTGTGTGGTCATTTCATGGGAAAATGGCACCAGACAAACACAAAAAAGGAGGGAGCTCTTTGCATTGTGACGTTTGCATTAGTAAGTAAAAGCAAGTGGGAGAACCATAAATCCCATTTTGTGAAGCAGAATAACAACATATGTGATACGTGCCTGAGCCCAGCACAGCGCCTGGCACAGAGGGGCTGAGACGTGTTGAAAGGGTAAAAACCCCTTGTACATTGTTGTGGCGAGCAGGCTAACAGAATGCTGATCATTAGCAAAGATTGGGGGGGGGGCAAAGCAAAAAACACACACTTTCCATTAATTAGGCTTCTCATTTCCCAAGCATCCGGTCGACATAGACTTTTCACTACCTGCTTCCTCTTCCGAATCTCTAATTAAAAAAGATAAGAGCTAAGCCTTCCTCGCACCAATCCCGGTGAGACCCTGCTGCTTAGGACTCTCCATCAAGAGAAGCGCACATTCATCCTTAGGGATCCGTTTCCTCCCCTGAGCTGGCTCCTGTGCATGACAAAGCACTCCCTGCAAAGCCATGGTGAAGCAATTAATTGTTTTTGTCTAGCTATGGAAATTTTTTTGGCATGGAACTTTGCCAAAGACTCTTGAAAAATTGAAAACACTAAAGCTATTGGTTTCCTTTACGGCCTACAAGGCCTGGTAGGTGAGCCCAGCGTGACCTCCCCTTGAGAGAGTTCAGAGCCTTTGTTCTATCAGGCTGCGGCCAGTTCGCTGTGGATGCACGTTCCCAGCACCCCCTACCAGAGCTCTTTAAGAATTGTGATCATTCGCAAACCTTGGGACTCCAAAGCGTGAACCCTAGAGGTCAGGAGGGCACAAGCTTTGAATTCTAGTTTTGTCGCTGAATAGCTGTGTGGCCTTAGTGCTCTATGAATGGTGGCCATAGCAACAGCAGCTGTGCATCTCTTATGCAATCCAATGCCTGATTCTCCCCGGGGAGCCCCCTGCAAAAAAGACAGGTCCAAACAACGAGCTAGTGTTTCCACCAGCAACCCCCCAGCTCCGACTCGCCCTCACTTGGGGGTTCCACATCCAGTCCTGACTTATCTGTATGCAGAGTGTGTCTGGAGACAGCAGCCTGTGTGCCCACAGGAGTGAGGTGCCTGGGGCAGAGTGGCCTCTCGTCGTATGAAGACCAGGCTTTCCATACAGTAAGGTTGTTAGTTTGGGGTCTCTCCTGAGGACTCCTTACTAGTAGGGGGCAGGGTCCATCTTTTCTGGTGTCAGAGATCTGGAAACAGGTCCTCCCTCCTGAAATAGAACTGAAAGGGTGGGAGCGGAGGACTTGGCTTGGGTTTTCCCTTCTAAGCTCCAACCCCACAAGCAGAACTGAGAAATCCAGGATTTTATTCTTTTCAGTAATTCCAGGTTTTCCTAACTGTGTTCAAGGGTTACTCTCACAAGTGTGCTGATGTCTTAAAGGAGCCTCAGCACCCAGCTGGACACAGGGTGTCAGAGAAGGTGAGCCCTGAAATAGGAGGCCGTGCAGGTTCTGGGCTCGGGGTACCTCTCAGACCACGGTGACTAGACCGAGATGAAGTTAGAGGCACTTGCCAGGGCAGAAGGTAGGGTCACCTGCGTGCCCTGGAGCAG